TTTTCGCTGTAATCTTTAGACGATCTGTCAGCAAAAGTTATCTCTGAAACGGAGGATAAAGGACAAATCTTTTAAATAGATAAAGATACTTTTTCTTTATATTTTAAAATTACTGACACATTTTCAAAAAAATGATAGTTACAATTATTTTTGTCATGATATTTTCTTCTTTAATTCTTTGTTTTCTTCTTTTGATTAACTTCCAGCACCAGCAATTTGAAAAAAAATAAAGTAGTATACGACGAAATTATCTTTTGCAAAGAAAATTTTTTTCAGAAATTGAAATACAATCATAAAACAAAAGTGTAATTGTCATGTTTATTATGTTTATTTATATTTTGATTTTATGTTACGATGGGGCGAATGGGGCTCTTGCAGGCACTACAGCCTTCGCTCGGCGTTATGCCCTATGGTGTTTAAAACTATAGAAATAATTCATGTACAATTATTGTAAATTATATACACCAAAAAAATTATTATTATCAATAAAATTTTTGTTTATTTAATTTATTTAAACCAATTAAATAACAGAATATTTTCGTCAAAATAGGAAATCGGTAGTTTTGCTTGTCAGATAAAAGTTATTTCTGCTGAAGCATTTTCTTACTTTTCATATTAAGGAAAGTAAACTTGTAAACATGAAACCTGTAAACATATTTCATACATCAAATTCTGATCAAAATCTGAAATTCTACACGCACACCTGCTGAAAATATGCAGATCATGAATCCTAAACCCTCTTGAAAACTATGTTTACTTTTATGTTACTACTGAGCTGGTGCCTGGGAACTTTAGAATGGTGGATATCGAGATCAATGCTTGATCCTCTCTTTTTCTTAATCTCGAGACTAACCTAATCTTGTACGTATCCTGAAAAGTGCATAAAATTCAAACAGGCCGGGAAATTTGAAATTTGACTCTCTAATTTTGAAAAACCGGTTTTTGATTTTTTTGTTCTATATATATAAGAGTGGATTAAGCAAGAAAATAAAAGTGTCCACATTGGATATTCGGATTAAGCAGTCGGGATTAAAGGTATCCCACTCTAAAGTTCCCAGCTCTAGGTGTCTGCACTAAACAAAGCAATTGATTAGAATTGGGATGTTGTCTTTTTTGAAAAATGCTGCGGCCTTCATTCGAGAACCATGATCTTAAGTTAAAACAATAATAAAGGAATTAAGTGTTTGTCCCAAACTCAAATCTTCCTTGCAGCCTGATGGATTGTTAGATCCAACAGAATTCAGAGTTTGATATCTATGGTTTACGACATTGGGTTGCAAATATTTAGGGATTAGTAAATCTGATTTTGTGGCAAAGACTCAATTTGACTTTCTTCAATCTTTTTTGTGCATTTGAAAAAAAAGAATTTTCTTTAGATTTCGATTCGTGAAAGAAACCCGAAATGGTATGAAAATCAATATCTTAAGAATTCTGAAAGGGTCTTAAGATCAATTTCAAGTGACCTTGCAGGGGCGGATACAGGATATAAGTGACATAAAAGACTCAAAAAGAGTCAAAATTAATGACTAAAGACAAAAAACTAGATTTTTAACTTTTCACACATTATAGTTTATTAAGACAGATATTTTTCCTGTTTTGCACTAAGGTTTCTTTCCCTTAAGCATGCTATTGAGAAGCTATTCTGAAAATAGGAACAAAAAATTCCAAATTGAGGGGGGGCGAATGTCCCCCTGCCCCCCCCCTGTATCCGCCCCTGTGACCTTGCAAGAAAAGACGACAAAGTCGAATTAACACCGGTGACCTTTAAACATTTATCTCATTAATAATATGGAGGTAATTGTCGTTTATCTGGCTTAAAAACTGTTAAATGCGCAAGTAACTTTTAAAGAGAATGTACAATTTAAAAATATCATTTTACAAGATTATAAACATTGGTATCTAAGTCATGCTGGATCTAATCTTGATACGCGCTTTGTCTAACATCAAAGACGATTTTTTAATTGCGTCTCTCAGCTGTTATGTGTAGTAGTGGAAACCCTGTTTGCAACTCCGGGCTAATACTTTAAAACAACAAAAGGAAAATAATTTACTCAGGTTAAAGCCCTGAAGAATGTGTATATGTACATTTTGATAAACACACAGACAGACAGACAGTTCACATAGCTGAGATCTAGGCAAGGTTAAGGTTACTTCTCCTCTTATATAAACATGAGGGTGCTGGATTATATTAGGAAAATAACGGGAAAAAGGAATGTGGATGAATATTCAAAATAATCATGAATTTGTAGGAATTGCGTTTTACAGTACAGGGTTTTTTTAATTAAATCGTAAGAAAGAATATGATTGTATTTTTGGTATTTACCATCTTAGATAATCAGGACGCATTGCACCTCTTTTCATTTTGAAAAGCTTGAAATGGTGGAGAAAAAACTGCTCCAATGGGTGGTATGATAGTTTTGACGAGCTAAGAGCCAGAGATTGGAAGTTGAGACTTTAAAATATTACATAGACCTCCGAGCTAGGGTTCAAAGCAAGAAAATTATCGTTTTGATCATTTTAAAGTGAATGTTCGCGAAAAATGAAAAGGTGTTAAGCTCCCTTTAAGATCAAATTTTGTATCGCCAATGAATGTCAAACTGATCGGGCCTTTAATTAAAACTAGCACTCTAAAGAAAAAGTCATAAGTAAGGACTATGAAAAAGTAAAATGATTTTTAGAAGCTGGGGCGCAGAGCGTTCTTGAAGACTAGCATTCTTACAATATTACAGAATCTAATATTCAGGACAATATATTGAGACTCATAGAGAGAGCTTGAGATATGGATTATAGCTGAAGAAGGAATAGGAGAATATACAAGAGATTATATTCTGAAGTGAGGGAGGGAGAGGGGAATATAGGAGGGAGAGGAGACTATAGGAGGGAGAGGGGACTATAGGAGGGAGAGGGGGTGGGAGGGGAGGGGGTGGAAATAATACTGAAATAAGTTTAGAAATTGAGATTTAACATAATGTAAGAGGATAATGGGGTAAGGGGTATACGGAGGGAGAATAGGCGCTATTGGTGATAGGATATTTGAGAATGTTTAGACTAGAAGTATGATTGACAATGTGTTATAAAACTAATCTGGAGTAATTAATCTAACTAGAAATCTACATGTGAAGGGGAAATACTAAATTCAGTTTTGTTCATAAATATCCTTTAACGTTTACATAAACCTGTCAAAAAAATGTAAAAATGGCAATTTTAAAGAAAGTGTTGTTGCTAATTTTTGCGTGAAAATAAAGAAATGAACAAATAAAAATTTTGTTTCATTTTGTTTAAAGAACTTATTAACAAGGGTTATCTCTCTTTTTTTTTTATCAAAATTGAATTTACGGTAAATATCTCTTTATTATCTTTATTACTAAGTCAGCAGTTTTTTTAATCAACAAATATTACAGATCACGTGTTAGACAATGCATAAACTTTAGGATATAGAATATAAGGTTAAGGTTCAATTCTATTTTTAGATCAGGTTAAAGAATTCTTTAGGTCGGTATACATTGAAGTTATTCAATTAGTACCGCGCGTTCCTACGGAAGAGTTTCTAATTTGTTCTACAATTATATTCTTAATTCTGAAGTTTGTAATCTTGATCTTTTAACTATATTTATGATTCTTTCAAGTTGATAATCTCGTTTTTACAATTATATTCTTAATTCTGAAGTTTGAAATCTGTGTTCTACAATTGTATTTTGATTCTGAAGTTTGTAATCTTGGTCTTATAACTATGTTCTTGATTCTAAAGTTTTAAATCTTGTTTTTAGAACTATATTCTTGATTCTAAAGTTTGTAATCTTGTTTTTTATATCTATATTCCCTGATTTTACAATTATATTCTTAATTATGAAGTTTAAAATCTTAATTTTACAATTGTATTTTGATTCTGAAGTTTGTAATCTTGTTTTTAGAACTATGTTCTTGATTCTAAAGTTTTCAATCTTGTTTTTAGAACTATATTCTTGATTCTAAAGTTTTAAATCTTGTTTTTAGAACTATATTCTTGATTCTAAAGTTTGAAATCTTGTTTTTAGAACTATATTCTTGATTCTAAAGGTTGAAATCTTGTTTTTAGAACTATATTCTTGATTCTAAAGTTTGTAATCTTGTTTTATAAAACTATATTCTTAAATCTGAAGTTTGTAATCTTGTTTTTAGAACTATATTCTTGATTCTAAAGTTTGTAATCTTGTTTTATATAACTATATTCTTAAATCTGAAGTTTGTAATCTTGGTTTTATAACTATATTCTTAATTCTAAAGTTTTAAATCTTGGTTTTATAACTATATTCTTGATTCTAAAGTTTTAAATCTTGGTTTTATAACTATATTCTTGATTCTAAAGTTTTAAATCTTAGTTTTATAACTATATTCTTGATTCTAAAGTTTTAAATCTTGTTTTTAGTACTATATTCTTGATTCTAAAGTTTGAAATCTTGTTTTATAAAACTATATTCTTGATTCTAAAGTTTTAAGTCTTGTTTTTAGAACTATATTCTTGATTCTAAAGTTTGAAATCTTGTTTTATTTAACTATATTCTTAATTCTAAAGTTTGAAATCTTGTTTTATATAACTATACTTGATTCAAAACTTCAGTACTATGTAATCTTGGTTTCATAATTATTATCTTGATTCTGAAGTTTTTAATCTTGCTTTTACATATATTTTTGATTCTGAAGTTTTTAATCTTGATTTTGCATATATTCTTGATTCTGAAGTTTGTAATCTTGATTTTAAAATTATATTCTTAATTCTAAAGTTTGTCATTTTTATTTTTTTTTCTTGGTTTTATAGCTATATTCTTGATTCTAAAGTTTTAAATCTTGGTTTTATAGCTATATTCTTGATTCTAAAGTTTTAAATCTTGGTTTTATAACTATATTCTTGATTCTAAAGTTTGAAATCTTGTTTTTAGAACTATATTCTTGATTCTAAAGTTTGAAATCTTGCTTTTACATTTTTTTTTGATTCTGAAGTTTGAAATCTTGATTTTGCATATATTCTTGATTCTGAAGTTTGTAATCTTGATTTTAAAATTATATTCTTAATTCTAAAGTTTGTCATTTTTATTTTTTTTTATCTAATGTGTTAAAGAATTAATTTTTTTTCTATAATCTTGAAAAATGGCGGACGATAATTCTATGCAGTGAAAGGCATGAAAACGAATATCTTGTCTGTAGGATGAAGTATGAAGTCTCCAGGTGGGTTTGTTATCACGTAGCGAGCAGTGGAAGCATTCGGGTTCTCTGATGTATCCAGGTACCTGGAGAAATCAAGGATTAAAGATTAGCTTAAGTTCCACGACGGTAATATATATAATCAATTTTTAATGTTTAGTTTGCATAAATATAAATTAATACATAAAATGGCAAAGACGACCTGTACACACTAATTAAGAAAATAAATGAATTTGTAGATTACGACTTAAATAAATCGATCCTGCTAAAATACTTGAATATGAATCAGCAAAATTCGACCTTGTATAAACGGAATCCTAAATACTTCCTGCACATGAAAAGACGACATGTGCAAACCGAACTCTGAAAACTATTTGAAAATGAAAAGACGACCTTTATAAACCGAATCCTTAGAAATACATGAAAAAGAAAAGATTACCTGTATAAACCGATGCAGAGAATTCCATGGTTTTTCAAAGCTGTCACAAATATGTCTTCATACTTTCCTCCAGAACCAAACCTTTCCAGCGGGGAACCTAAATTGTAATTGATTTTTTTTTATTTAAAAGGATCAAGCATAGAAAGACAGTTTAGGAATAATAAAATGATATTAAATTCGATTCATATATTTTGTCTTGAATGAACCTAATAACAAAAATAAAGAACATTACAATAAGCAACATTATTCTCTTCATTATTATTTTTTTTAGTAAATAAATCAATACCTGCTATAGATATTTGACTTAGTTTACATCGTTTACATTTATCGAGTAATTTCTGTGATGAATATCCAGGTTGTATCCCAGCTCCTTCAGCCAGAATAATCTCTAGTTCTGGGGTCATTCCACCTAGAAATATAAATATTTATCGAGTAGTTTCTGTGATGAATATCCAGGTTGTATCCCAGCTCCTTCAGTTAGAATAATTGGGGTCATTCCACCTAGATATATAAATATTTATCGAGTAGTTTCTAGGAAAAATATCCAGGTTGTATCCCAGCTCCTTCAGTTAGAATAATCTCTAGTTCAGGGTTCATTCCACCTAGAAATATAGATATTTATCGAGTAGTTTCTGTGATGAATATCTAGGTTGTAAACCGGATCCTTCAACCAGAATAATCTCTAGTTCAGGGGTCATTCCACCTAGAAATATAATATTTATCGAGTAGTTTCTGTGAATAGTATACAGGTTGTATCCCTGCTACCTTAATTGTTTAATAATCCCTAGTTCAAAAGCCATTCTACCTCGATAAAAATTTAATGAGTAGTTTGTATGACGAATATCTGTGGTTGTATCCCAGTCCTTCAGTTAGGATAATCTTAAAGTTTATCCAGATATATTCAATTATATAAAGTAAGACATAGAAATTGAGTAAGGATGAATAAAGTCGTCTTTGTTGGACGAGGCATTTATTAATTTTCTGATTTTACAAATAATGTTATTGATATATTTACATGCAGGGTTACCCACAAAGGATAAGATTGTAAAAACGACCCAAAACTTTTAAGATATGACGATTTGAAGCTTGATTTTTGGTTTCTGCATTCAATTAATCATATCTAACGATTTTTACAAAATGATTAAACGCAGAAATGAGCCAGTTTTAGTTTGAGAAGAACCCTGAATTTAAAATAAGGGACTAACAAATTCCAAACACTCGTCTCTAAAGTCTCAGCCTTCAGGGTAACCCTGTATATTAAAACATTAAAAGTTTAAATTGACACATGAGTTTGTTTTACCTGAGATAAGAGATTTAATGAGAGTAAGAGCTTGATGATTATAGTAAGCTGTTGACATTATGGAGTCCAGGACGGAGACAGCTAAAGCTGTTCCAGTCGCAAATGCTAGAAAAAGAACGAAACCAAATATTTAACTGCATAGGTTTTAAAGAACCAAACCACTCAAAAGTCAACCAACATAAAAATGAAACTTTGTTCCAAATGAAACAAAAATAACTAGATATTGTTTAAGTAAGTTCAATTTTGACGTAAATTCAGCGTGAAAAGAACAAAATTACTCACACAAATTAAGAATTTTGAAACTATAACCAATGCTTATAGGTCTAGAAAAACTGTTTCACTCAATCTTGATTTAGTTTCCTTGTGTAACATAGAGCTGAGTTCCAGGTTCATCGTCATCATCTGGATTCAGATATTGGATATTGGAATCATTTACAACCTCAGTCAGAACCATCCTTTGGTCAACCATTCATAATCAATCCTAAACATTAGTGGCGGCCAAAACTCGATGCAAAATGTCAGTGAGACAAATAATTAAAATCTTGTAAAAAAATCATGCATTTTTAAGTTTAAAAATTATATTTCTAAAGCAATAAATGAATTTAATTAGCTTCAAAAGAATAAAAATATTTTTTAAATTTAAAAAAAAATATATAATGGTTTCCTGACTCTGCTGCCTAAAACTTCGCCGTTTCTCATCTGAGGTCCGGATGTTCCAAAATCCATGTTCTGATTGTCAGATTTATTAAACGTCATCGCGTTGATGTTGAGGCTGGCGAGGACAGCCTCCTTGTCGGCCATAGACGGATCCTCGACATTGGATATTTTGGCGGAGAGGATGACGCACATGTCGGAGAGGTTTACATTGACAGAACGCAGGTCAGCTCGGCTCATCGGAGTTCCGTTCAGAACAGAGATCTTTGGCATATTCTGGAGAGTCTCCCATTCTCTCTTTACATACTAAATACGAGATTACGGTTAACTTAAAATGATTTTGATTTGGGCCTAGAATGGTCCCCATGGGATTCCGTTGGGATGATTTTGAATCTTTATTTTTACAGGGTGCGAATTTGGCAGCAGCAATTGTTTTCATCATTGTTTAATCTGAACAGGTTCTTGTATTATAGTATGCACACAGTATTTTCCATGCCCGTAACCAGAGGGGTGCAAGACGACTTTGCATTCCCACCCTTTTATATTGTTGTTTGGCATAATATTCTATTTAGATATTAACATTTAAAGTTTTCTAAATTTGTTATCATCCTGTATACTGTATTGTGAGGGAGGTAAGGCAAAAATTCGTTCCACCACAAATTACGTCACAACCTACTATTATTTCTTTAGACCACATATTTCGTCCGGCATTGTTTACAATCTTTTTTAAAGAACTTTAATTATTATATTAGATATTTGAGCCACGTCATGTTGTTGATAATGTCATCTAAAAGATGCAGTTTAGGAGTAAAATAAGAAAACATCATTTCCGGACGAAATATAGGTGTGGTCCGGAGGAAATAGGTGTGGTCCGGACGAAATATATAGGTGTGGTCCGGACGAAATATAGGTGTGGTCCGGACGAAAAATTGGCGTGGTGCACACATTTTCCTTTCTTTGCTAAATTTCGCTTAAATATCTTTAAATTTATCTTTATATGCATTTAAGATACAATTAACCCATTGCATAAACATGACGTTGCCTAAATTTAAAAAAAACGTGTTAAATGACATAAAATGGTACATTTGAAAACACAGAACCAATGCTCGGACAAAAAAAAATGTGGTCGAAAGAAATATTGGTGAGTTTTTGTGGTGCAGAAGAAACAATAGTGTGGTGTACCTTCCCCCTCTCGCTATGTCTAATCAATTCTCTACTAAAGCCGTTCCCTCGGACCAACAAAATTAAACCTTCCTTGAAAAATATTTGTCCTGAGGTAAGATTTTCTGATAGAACTGGTTTGTTGATATAAAAGATATAATACATAAAATGTAGTTAATATGTTCCAGTATTTATCATAAAATTCAATTATTCAAATTTTGCAGAAACTTACCGCCTCAGTTTCAATATTTTGTTCAGACAGTAGGTGAACGTGAGTAGTAATATCAAAGTTAGCAACATTTTTTGTTCTCCAAAATTGTTAAATTTGAACTAAAAACTAAATTATGAAAAATATCCTTGTGCCATATCATACAAAACATCAAATTCAGGTAAAACTGAATTTTCACTGTAACAGTTTAAGCTTAAATTACTAGTGTTGATGACAAATAAAAAAATTTCCTATATATAGAATTCAAGTTAAAATTACTCGATTTTACGCCCAAATTCTGAACATTTTCTATGCAGGGAGTCCCTGTCATGCATCCCATGGGCCCATACTACAACACCCCTCTTTGCACCCCCCTTTGGAAAATCCTAGTTACGGGCCTGTTATTTTCCCTAGTTTTATTGGACCCGATATAGAGTGTAAAACTCTGTAGGTATAAACTAACTGTACCTGGGCACATCCTACAATAACGACGTGCTTGAGTTCATGATATTGAAGGTTGGATGCGCGGAGCGGCATGACGAGGTTGCGGAGACCAATCAACGGACCGTCGGGTTCAGCGAAAATACAAACAACCACATGGGAGTTCAGAACCATTCGGGATATCTGGTTTCTAGAAATAAAACATTGTTAAAGATCATTTTTAAATTTTTAGTTCTCAAGTTAAACAAAATACAACGAAAATCCGTAATTAAAAGGTTTATGACGTTGGATCAACGTAATTAAGTAATTTAATAAAACTTATTTGAAAATAAACCGTTTAGAAGTTAAAAATCTGTGTAGATACTGTGAACTGAATCCTGTGTATTCAGTATTAAAAGGTACCTGGAGACTAGAACTGAATTCATGTATAAAAGGTACCTGGAGACTAAAACTGAATCCTATGTATAAAGGTACCTGGAGACTAGAACTGAACCCATGTATAAAAGGTACCTGGAGACTAGAACTGAATCCTATGTATAAAGGTACCTGGAGAGTAGAACTGAATCCTATGTTTATAAGGTACCTGGAGACTAGAACTGAATCCTATGTATGAAAGGTACCTGGAGACTAGAACTGAATCCTATGTATATAAGGTACCTGTAGAGTAGAACTGAATCCTATGTATATAAGGTACCTGGAGACTAGAACTGAATCCTATGTTTGAAAGGTACCTGGAGACTAGAACTGAATCCTATGTATATAAGGTACCTGGAGACTAGAACTGAATCCTATGTATGAAAGGTACCTGGAGACTAGAACTAAATCCTATATATAAAAGGTACCTGGAGACTAGAACTGAATCCTATGTATAAAGGTACCTGGACACTAGAACTGAATCCTATGTATATAAGGTACCTGGAGACTAGAACATCTGTGAAAGGTCTGGCAGGACACCAATGAAATATTCCCGTTGAATCAAACTTATATTCTATCTGGTCCTCAGCTCTATACACACAGTTATCAACAATAAACAATTGAAAATAGATAAAATTGTAAAATATTAAAAATGTTACCGTTGAAACCCAAAATCTATCTCTAGTTGTTTCTGTAGAGAGGTTGGGAGCTTAGGGATAAAAGGGCTCAAGCTGATGGGTTGGATATCAGGGTCGTGAGTACGGGACGGAGTTTCAGGGTGTCCGGGTCTATATCTAAACACGGAGAAGTGTTAGGGTTTACTGGTTTAAGGGTTAGGGTTTACTGGTTTCGTAGGTTCATTTCAAATGGCATTCTGCTCAGGTATACTCCCCGAGAGAATAATTATTGAATTTTTTCATTCAGACATTTTCTAAACTATTAATTTTTAGGGTTATTGAGGTTTGATTTTAATAGTTTTTGAAGACAAAATCATTTGTGAACAGTATCTAAAACACCCAGATATATTTAGGAATCATACTGTTTTCTGTTTCTGATTCAGAAGATAAACCTGATATTGGTTGGTAGAAGATGGTTGGATAAATGTGAGTTCAAGGATCCAGCTCCAATAGCAAATCCGTTCCCAGTACTTACAGTGCTCAAACTGTTCGGCATCCTTGGACTTGCAACTTGAAAATAATAATATCAGGTAGATAGATAGATATATTCTAATATTTACTAGATCTATCATGGAGTCTGTTCTTCACGCTAAAATAAAATAATGTTCACGTAATATTAGAAACTTGAACGTTTTTAATCATAACTCTTCTTATAGTATATAGAGCTATTGAGAAGAACAAAATGTTTTAATATGCTTTCCTCATGTTTATGCTTAAAATCAAAACTAGAGGAGATAAAACAAACTATCTTCCATATGTTTAATCTAATTGAAGCTCAATGAATCTCACTAAATCTCTCTACATATCACTGAATCCACTAAATCCAACTAAATCTCATTGAATCTTAGTAAACTACACTGAATTCACTTTATCTCACTTAAACTCTCTGAACCTTACTAAATCTCACTGAATATCACTGAATCTCTCTAAATCTCAATAAATCACGCCGAATCTCTTTCAATCTCACTAAATTCCAACGAATCTCACTGAATCTTACTTAATCTCTCTGAAGTATATATCTCTAAATCTCTCTGAAGTATATATCTCTAAATCTCACCTTTCTTATCCAACTCCTGTTCTTTAAGAAGAGCACACTTGCATTTAACAATCATATTCAGATTTCTCACATTCTCGTGACACGCCTAGCAACAACAAACAGTTTAACGCCATTTTGAATTGAAATAAATCTGCGCCATTTTTATAAACCGTTTTTCATAAATCTACAAAGTCAACTCTGACTAAATCATTAAATATCGCGTTCCAATTTCAACTTTTCTGAGTATATTAAATGTAAAATTAGATTACCTTACAGAAGAATACAACCCTCTTAACTTCTTCAGCATCTTGTGCAATAAAATACCTAAAATAAAATAGATCGTAGTTTGTGGCAAAATTGAAAAAAAATATTTCGGAAGGCGTGTCGAACATTACACTTCAATTATCAAAAAAGGTCAAAGAATCGAGCATAAGAATTTTGACTTCTGTAAATCATCTTTTCTGAAATCTCACTTAACTTAACTAATTTTAAAAGAAAAAAAGAATTTCAGCCAATCATTTTGTGGCTCATTTCCAATGAAAACGGAAGACACAATGTGACCGCTTAGTTGTAATTGATTTCAAGGCATAATGAGAGATACAGAGATAATGGGAAAACCCAGATAAAAAATTCCCTAGTGTTGTTTAATATCTCTCTTCATCGACACCTTTCCCCTTTATCTTCATTCCTTTATGCTGTCAACGTCGCTTTTCTTAATCCGTATAACAGGAGTTTCCCCAGCTGGGCTCTAAACTAATGAATCTGAGCTGAACACTTTAGAATTGGATACCCTTAATCCCGATCGGATAATTAATCTGGAGATTAAAAATGAGAGGAGAACAAGCAATATTTAATCTCGAGATTAAGAAAAAGAGTGGATTAAGCCTTAATTCCCGATATCCACCATTCTAAAGTTTTCAGCTCTGAACACTTTAGAATTGGATACCCTTAATCCCGATCGCTTAATCTGAATATCCACTGTGGAAACTTATGATTTTCTTAATTCTCTTATTTGGTACACTCTAATTGGTAGAATTTTAGGCCCTTTAGTGAATAAAGATTATAATAATCTGAAGATTAACAAAAAGAGGAGATCAAGCATTGTTCTCAATATTCACAATTCTAAAGTTATCAGCTCGGAACTGCCTTTGTCGACGGTTCAAAATTGAATTTGAAAATGTTTATTACCCAACTGTAGAGTTTCGGATTCGAACCCTTTGAGGATTTATCGCTATCTCTGATTTCCCCTCTTCATTTGTCACTTCTATCGCTATTATCAATAGTTTCAACTGAAAATGAAAAATAAAATTATTTCTTGGATCGTTTGAATACAGAGAATTATTGTAAAGTTCATGAGTGTTATTGTGACCAGCATTCGGTTAAAAAAACACGAAGATCCAAATTCCACTTTTAACTTTTCTTGATTTTTGGTATCATAAAAAAAGCTGCGTCTTGGTTTAACTGACAGCGATGGTAACTTTTAAATGGTGGGATGAGTTAAGCACATGCTTTTCTAGTGTGAAAACTTCAGAGATTTATGACCAATAAGAGATGTAAGAACTCCCGTGAAGAAGTGGGAAAAACGCATTCCGACTTTCAAAAGTTTCCAGCTCAGGTCAATGAGTTTATTGTTAAAGAAGCAGGAAAAGATTGAATCAACATGCGTTTTTTGCGTAAAATATTTTATAATGATTAAACTGCGGCATATTTAGTCCTGGGACCGGATTTGATTAATTTGAGCCAGGTCTAGCAACGGTTCCACTACGTAGTTTGAATCGGAGATTCAGGATTTGTAAATGTACGTATTCAAATTAACGGTATGTAGTTCAGCGACCTAGCTCAAATTCATCAAATTCGGTCCCTGATCTATCATATAATCTGTGTTTACCCGAACAAAGCATGTTTCTGCTGCTTGAACAAATGTCATTCCGTTGAAGGACGGAGAGAGAGTTTCAGTGTACATTTCACAACCCGTTCCCTAAACATAGTGTACATTTCACAACCAGTTCCCTAAACATAGTGTACATTTCACAACCAGTTCCCTAAACATAGTGTACATTTCACAACCAGTTCCCCAAACACAGAGTACATTTCACAACCAGTTCCCTAAACAAAGTGTACATTTCACAACCAGTTCCCTAAACATAGTTTACATTTCACAACCAGTTCCCTAAAAATAGTGTACATTTCACAACCTTTTCCCTAAACATAGTGTACATTTCACAACCAGTTCCTTAAACATAGTGTAATTTTCACAACCAGTTCCCTAAACATAGTTTGCATTTAACAATCAGTTCCCTAAACATAGTGTACATTTCACAACCAGCTCCCTTAACATAGTGTACATTTCACAACCAGTTCCCTAAACATAGTGTACATTTCACAACCAGTTCCCTAAACATTATTTAAACTATAAACAGATTGGACTTCTGGCAAAGAATGGAATTATCAAACCCTGTGAAATTCTATAGAATCTTATTAATATTTTTTACAGTAACAACAGTTCCTTACATTGTATAGATGGTTTCCCTACCAGGAGATATTCGTCCTTACATTATTTAGTTGGTTTCCCTACCTGGAGATATTCTTCCTGAAATTATATAGTTGGTTTCCCTACCTGGAGATATTCGCCCTTACATTGTATAGTAGGTTTCCCTACCCAGAAATATTCGTCCTTACATTGTTTAGCTGGTTTCCCTACCTGGAGGTATTCGTCCTTACATTGTATAGTTGATTTCCCTACCCGAAGATATCGTCCATACATTGTATAGTTGGTTTCCCTACCTGAAGATATCGTCCAAACGTTGTATAGTTGGTTTCCCTACCTGAAGATATTCGTTTTGCCATTGCTGACGGTCAGGGCAGGATAGATCAGCTCTCATAGCAAACAAATTAGACATCATTGTGCTGAATAAATGCAAATATTAGATTAAATATATCCCGGATTTGAAATATATCAAACCATAACTTCTGAACTATCTCTATAAGAAAAAGTTAACATTGCAAATCTAGATCCATAGATATTCTTATTGATTATTCTTATTGATATTCTTTTTGATATTCTTATTGATTATTCTTATTGATATTCTTTTTGATATTCTTATTGATATTCTTATTGATATTCTTATTGATATTCTTATTGATTATTCTTATTGATATTCTTTTTGATATTCTTATTGATATTCTTATTGATATTCTTATTGATATTCTTTTTTGATATTCTTATTGATTATTCTTATTGATATTCTTATTGATATTCTTATTGATAATCTTATTGATATTCTTATTGATATTCTTATTGATTGAAAACTATAAACAAGAAAGAGCACACTCGTTTAACAGTCTATCCTAGTAGTTTTCTACGACTTTTCTGGCATCTTAAATCATGATATTTTTTGATGGAACCTGTATAGTACCCTGGCTATAAAAAAGTTTGATTTTTTTAAGAACTCGGAATTTATTTTTCAAAATTTGATTTTTTTCTCAAAGTGGTTCTAAAATTTAACGGGCAACGCAGGGCACTTGAGCTAGTTTACAATAAGATTTTGTCCTAATAATACCTGAATCCTGGGGCAAGACAGGACTTGAGCTAGTTTACAATAAGATTTTGTCCTAATAATACCTGAATCCTGGAGCAAGACAGGACTTGTGCTAATTTACAATAAGATTGTGTCCTAATAATACCTGAATCCTGGAGCAAGACAGGACTGTGCTATGAATCCAAGTTTAAACTCAGCCTAAACAAAATTATTATATCTGTCTATTTATCTATGAATATATCTATCTATCTATCTATCTATCTATCTATCTATCTATCTATCTATCTATCTATCTATCTATCTATCTATCTATCTATCTATCTATCTATGACTCACCAGACAGACGACTGCATCTCTGCTCTCGTCCCAGGACGGAATATTGAGAAGATAGGATTTGTTATGATAGAGGAGAAGCTGGATAATAACCCTTGTTTCATCACAGTAATCCTTAATATTTAGACAATTAAGAAACTGTTTACTTCTCTAATCCTTATATCTTTCCAACCTCATGTCAGACCTTTGCATGATATTTCAAACTTCAAATAGACAAATTTTGAAATATCAAATGTTTGCACCATCTGCAGGTTGAAAAGATTCATCGATAAGAAAATTTAAATTAGAGGCGCATGATAAGTTGCTTTAAATTTAAATCCTTCTTAACTTAAAATTAGATTCTTTTACTTCAGATTTTATTATTAGCCAACAATCTGCTTTATGGGTTTATTGGGTTGAAACGATAGAGGGATTAAAAATCTGAGTTTGTGATAAGAACTCAGTTCCATTGCAGACCATGGTAACGATGAAATATTTACCTTGACTGAGATGACCCGCATAATGTTGGAAGCGTCCTCTGCGTCTGGAAACTGACAGTATTTGTTGGTTAGGATTACAACAGCATCCGCTGACTCAGCCTCAAGGATAATATATATATTTGTTGATTAGGATTACAACAGCATCAGCTGACTCAGCCTCAAGGATAATATATATATTTGTTGATTAGGATTACAACAGCATCAGGTGACTCAGCCTCAAGGATAATATATATATTTGTTGGTTAGGATTACAACAGCATCAACTGACTCAGCCTCAAGCAAAATATAAATATAATTGATAAAATGTCGAATCTTAAATTGGTTTTCTACAATAAGAGTTTTCAAAAATAAACTTGGAGTTTTTTTAAAAATGACTTCTATAGATTTCTAACCCTGGGATACTTTTCATGAATACAAGAACCCTCTCAAAATACAGAAATTCCATGTGATAATCCTGAAAGTATCTAACTCTGGGATACTTTTTAAAATTCTCTTAACCTTTTTCTGAATCTAGGTGAATTCCATAAGGGAGCCCTACAAGTATCTAATCCTGGGTTTCTTTTAAAGTTCTCTGAACCTTGTCCATATCTATGAATTTTATGAGAAAGAACTAAAATCATCTAAACCTAGGATACTTTTTAAAATTACCTAAACCCTCTCTAAATCTATTTATTCTAAAGGAGGGCCCTACAAGTATTTAACCCTGGGATACTTTTTGAGATTACCTGAACCCTCTCTAAATCTATGGATTCCATGAGAGAGCCCTGAAAGTATCTAACCCGTGGATACTTTTTCTTGAGAAAGCCGACAAATTCCAGCTCTGGTTCATCAGGATGAAGAAACACCGCCTCTACATCAACATCCTCCCTGAGAAAAGAAAATAAATATGGCTGAAAAAGAGAAATGACTGCATTTTCTCCACAAAGGTTTTAATTTGAACACAATATATATTTACAAACCTTTATATCTGGGGAATATTTAGTATTCACCAACCTATATTCCCTGTAAATATTCACCAATCACCAACCTGTATTCCCGGTGAATATTTAGTATTTACCAACCTGTCTTACCTGTGAATATTCACCTATCACCAGCCTGTATTCCCTGTGAATATTCACCTATCACCAACCTGTATTCCTGGTGAATATTCACCTATCACCAACCTGTCAGCATGATGGAAATCTGAGAGAAAGCTTGTGACTGTCTCGAAGGTAATATGCCCAGAAACCTAGGAATAACATTTTTTTTATAAATTATAAACTAGATTAGATTCCACAGATAAAAATGAAGATGACAATATGGGTTGACAGTTACGAACATTTATCTATATCGACAAAGGTTTATGAATGACAAAATAGGATTATGAATGACAAAATAGGATTATCAATGAAAAAATAGGGTTATCAATGACAATATGACTTTCTTAATGACAATATGGGTTTATAAATGACAACAAGAATTAATTAAAGATAATATGAAGTTTTCAATGACAAGACGTATTTATCAATTACAAAAAAGATTTATCAATAACAACAAGGATTCATCAATGACAACAAGGATTCATCAATGACAACAAGGATATATCAATCACAACAAGGATTTATCAATAACAATGACAACTAGGCTTGTTTATTAATTACAAGAAGGATTGTTTAATGACAATTAGGATTAAACAATGAAAACAAGGATTAATCAATGATGATAAGGATTCATCAATGACAAGTTTAGGGTGTTATCAGTGACCACAAGGATTTATCAATGACCACAAGGATTGGTAAGTGATGTATGATAAAGCAAGTTATTGAAAGTTACCACTATAAATGTTTTCCCTCTCTCATTTTTATAACTGCCTCCGAATTTCCTCCGGTTCCCGAGGAGCATCATTGCCTCCGGTATAACTGTGGTAAACATTGCCAATCCAACCACTAGGAACAAAATCTGGAACAATCTAAACAAATAAAGGAATTGAGTTTTTTTCCACAAATTCAAATTTTCTAATCCCTATATCTTTGCAACCTGATAATTTAAATCTTAGATATTTCATATTTAAACTATTTAATCTAAAAGTACCCATAGCTTAAAATATCAAAGGTCTACGACATCGGGTTGCAAAGATAAAGGGGTCAGCAACTCAGCGTTCAGGTCCTTTGTACACAGCGTTCAGGTCCTTTGTACACAGCGTTCAGGTCCTTTGTACACAGCGTTCAGGTCCTTTGTACACAGCGTTCAGGTCCTTTGTACACAATTTGTTATGAATTAAAAGATAAATCCGACAGAGAAGACAAAATAATGTCAATTTTGCATTCAGCTTTGATTTTGCTTTTGAACACGATAACCTTGAATTAAAAAATTGCTAATTTTCAAAATGAAGAATTTTGTAAAATATCTTTGATAGCAGTGATTAAAGATTATCATGTAAAGAAGTTAGCTAGAACTAAGGCAATTACAATAACTACTCCAAATATGTGCCTTGGCAGACTTTAAAAAACGGATATATTTTTTTCAAATCTGAGATCGGTAATTTTGGTTGAGAATAGTGCAACTCAAAAAGGTCTTAAATCGATGTCCCAAATGAGAATTTCGAATCTTTTAGAATTGAGAATATTTTTAATACGTCATTCCGTTTTATTTTCTCAATTCTTTGTCAAGTCAATCTTTGCAACATCTAGACTTTACATAATTACATTGGGTCAATAACCTGAACGTAGACCTATGAGAGTAGAATAGAAAAGAGTTAAATGTACGATTTAGATCAACCCCATAAGGTGCAAGCGGATTTAGCTTAAATAACTCTGACCTCTGATGAGTTTAATAAAATTATTTTTTCTACCTTCCGATGAGCGTAGCGGGGAATATATCTCCATATCCTACTGTAGACATGGTAACTATCATACAGTATACACACTCGAAATAGGACAGTTCCTGTTTATTATCAAAGAACGGTGGATCTCCGTAGTTCTCTATCAGGTGGATAAATCCTAAATAGAGAAATAAGTTCTGAAAGAAGTTGAATATTTGCCACAAACTCGGATTTCTGATCCCTATATCTTTGCAACCCAAGGTCGTAGAACTTAGACATTTCAAACTTTGAATTCCGTTGAATTAAATTATCTAAGTTTGAAATATCAGGTTGCAAAGACGTAGGGATTATAAAATTTGAATTTGCGGCATTGCGGCATTGGTTCACATTCACAAGACCCAAAATATAGCAAAAAGGGAGAACACTAAATATGTTTTTCATATCATTGATTAAATTATATAAGATTAAAGAACACAAACTGAAAACATTGACATAGAAAAATATACAAAGAACTAAGCAGAACATTTTTGGTATCTAATATATATATAGAAACTTAAACCTGGTCCTCTTCATATTAAATATTTTTAAACAAGTTTTGTTTATATTTCTAAATATAAACGTCAACTGAGGATGCAATATGAATGGAGTTTGTTAATCACCAAAAAGTTATTCAATCATTTTTGCAACAAGAAAAAATTTTTTTGTGGGCTTCTATTCCCCTTCCCTTACCTGCAGCAGTCCACCAGATTGACATAAACATGGCAACCAGCTGCAGTAATCTAAACATTATGTGTACAGTGTGTAATACATTTAGGGTAACACAATATTCTGTAAACCTGCAGTACGTTGTACATTATTAACTATCTATGTTTGTAAACTCCTACGTAAAGACCATTATTCATTTGAACTGTGTTTCAAATGAATACATAGCATGATTAGCTTAATCATGTGATATATAATGACGTATATCTTAATTGCTTCTATTTCAACTGTGCTGTTGATTGTTTAAATCATGTGATAACAATAACAACGTAGGAATTGTAATTACGTCTATAAACTTTAACTTGTAACATATAACCTTCAGCTACATCAGTTTGTATAGAAACTTGGCTTTGATTACAATGTAGAGTAATTGCGTCCTCGTTGAATCATACGGGCCGAGATTGTACCTCAGTATTTGGTAAAGATCGACTAAGAGCTTGTTTGATAGCTAAGCTTGTGTCCCTGTGTGACATTTAGAGCAAAAGAGATTGTACCTTGGTATTTGATACAGATCGAGTAAGAGCTTGTTTGATAGCTATGCTTGCGTCCCTTTGTGACATTTAGAGCTAAAGAGATCGTACCTCGGCATTTGGTACAGATCGAGTAAGAGCTTGTTTAATAGCTACGCTTGTGTCCCTGTGTGACGATTAGAGCTAACAAAATCACGCCAAGTGGTAGTGGCGTTGATAGTTCACGAGATTGTATGTGGATCGTGTCCTGTTTGAGGCATTGATCAATTAATTGATAGTGTCCTGTCCGTATTGACACCGATAGCTAACAAGATCGTGTCCAGTGGTAGTGGTGTTGATTTATTACGGGAGTGTGGACGTGTGGATCGTGTCTTGTTTGACTTTGCTGTTTCCAGTATATTGAGATATTGGAGGATTTCAGGGAAACAGTTTACCTTATAGATCTTGCTGTTTCCAGTATATTGAGATATTGGAGGATTTTAGGGAAACAGTTTACCTTATAGATCTTGCTGTTTCCAGTATATTGAGATATTGGAGGATTTTAGGGAAACAGTTTACCTTATAGATCTTGCTGTTTCCAGTATATTGAGATATTGGAGGATTTCAGGGAAACAGTTTAATCGAAGTATTCGAAGACATCTAAACAGGAGATATCAACAAAAAGAATTAGAAAATTAGAGTCAAAATGGCTGAATATTTAAGAGTAGTAATAAATTATGCAAACAAGAAATGATTTTTGTCTTAATATTTTTTATTATAGTTTGAGGCGAGTAAACAGAGTGAGTAAAATAACCGTGATTTCAAACTTTATGTTTACTTCGAATTTTAGACCAATAAAAATATATTGTGATAAAAAAAAATTCAAAATTAATTTTTAATTATTGAAAAAAAAATCCGCAAAACCAATTTTTAAAATGAAATTTAAAAAATTGTTGGGAAAATGTTTATTCTATTGTTTTCCAAAATATCATCAAAAATTGAATTTGATATAAAAAAATATAAACCAATTAATTGCATTTTTGAAGTCATAACAGTCATAACAATTACTGCAGATTGGAATGAACATTTCTTCAAGATTTTTTTTTAAATTACAAATTTTCAAAAAGAATTCGCTTTCGCGGATTTTTTTTAAGTTCTAAAAATATTTTTGAATTTTTTATTACATTTATTTTTTTTATGCCTAAAATCTGAGGCTAAAATAGTTTTAAAATGTTGTACAAAAAATCGATAATCCCGTTTTTTACTCATCCTGTATAAGAAGATTTTAATCAATTTAGACCAGTGGTTTTTAAAAGTTAAGAGTTAAAAGCATTTATAAATTGAGATCTTACCGTAACCCAATCCATATCCTGCCAAGGATGAGAGAAACAAAGGATGGCGGTATAGTGAAGAAATCAACCATGGAGTAGAGCTGGAACATGAATACAAGCTTGTCGTTGGCAGCGATAAACCTCATGAAGAAGTAAGCCATGAACAAGATGTTGAGGGAAACATCAAACTGAAAATATAGATTTTACTTCAATTTTTCCTACCTTGGGAACCCAGCGTTGCACAATGCACAGGGTTCTCATATTTACTTAGATCTTTATTTAGAATCTTAAAACTAAACTAAGAACATTCCCGTGGGTCTACCGAGTTCACCAATAAAAATTTGAGACAAATCGGTCCAGGGGTTCTGGAATTATGATCGGACAAACAAACAAACAGAAAGACAAACAAAGATTACAACTTTATACATAAATAGATTCAGTGAAGATAGGATAAAATTCAAATAGTTATATTAAAGGAATTTAGTCTTTCAACCTCACATGTTCTAATCCCTATATCTTTATAGTCTGATGGTGTAAACTTTTAATATTATACACTTAAATTATTTGATCTAATGAATTCATAGTTGGAATATCTCAGGTCTCCGACTTAAGGGTCTAAAGATTTGCGGCAAAGTCTCAATTCCTTTAATATTTTTGGGGAATTTTGTTGCAAAAGAACTTATTCAAAATCATGATGAAGAAAAGGAGAAACTTTTAATTTGAAACAAACAACTCAAAATAACATTTTCACGTTTTTATCAAATACTAAAAAAATGAAAGAAAAAAAGGATTTAAAACCTTAAGTGAAGTTGGATAATCATCAATACATTTCTCCACCAGCCCACTCTGTGCATCATAGAAGTAAATAAGTTGAGAAGTTATACTGATCACAAATACAACAACATTCAGAGCCTTCCCAGCCTTAAATATATATATAACAATTAAACATGGCAAGTAAATGACGACTTCAAAATCGTCGTTGATTTCCGAAATCTAATAAATTATAACGAGGGTTTAATAAATTACAACGAGGGTCTAATAAATTAAAACAAATCTAATAAATTACAACGAATCTAATAAATTACAACGAATCTTATAAATTACAACGAATCTAATAAACTACAACGAATCTAATAAATTACAACGAATCTGATAAATTACAACGAATCTGATAAATTACAACAAATCTAATAAATTACAAAAAATCTAATAAATTACAACGAATCTAATAAATTACAACGAATCTGATAAATTACAACAATCTAATAAATTACAACGAATCTAAAAAATTACAACTAATCTAAAAATTACAACGAATCTAATGAATTAAAACGAATCTGATAAATTACAACTAATCTAATAAATTACAACGAATCTAATAAATTACAACGAATCTAGTAAATTATAACGAATAAAATAAATTACAACGAATCTAATAAATTACAAAAAATCTAATAAATTACAAAAAATCTAATAAATTACAACGAATCTAATAAATTACAACAAATCTAATAAATTACAAAAAATCTAATAAATTACAACGAATCTAATAAATTACAACGAATCTGATAAATTACAACTAATCTAATAAAATACAACGAATCTAATAAATTACAACGAATCTGATAAATTACAACAAATCTAATAAATTACAACGAATCTAATAAATTACAACAAATCTGATAAATTACAACAAATCTAATAAATTACAACGAATCTAAAAATTACAACTAATCTAAAAATTACAACGAATCTAATGAATTAAAACGAATCTGATAAATTACAACTAATCAAATAAATTACAACGAAATTTATAAATTACAACGAATCTAAAAAATTACAACTAATCTAGTAAATTATAACGAATCAAATAAATTACAACACATCTAGTAAATTATAACGAATCTAGTAAATTATAACGAATCTAATAAATTACAACGAATCTAATAAATTACAACGAATCTGATAAATTACAACGAGGTTCTAAAATCAGATATTTAGGACGCAATTTTTTATCTCATTCAATAAAATGGAATCAATTTTATTTTATCTTCGTAAGGTATGAAACCCAGTTGAATTAATATTCAATACAGAAATAAATATAGGGGAGGGGGTGGGGGGAAATTTAACTGTAAATATCAAACATTTGGCTTCTTGGATACTTTAAAGGTACACATACACTATACAGTCCAATTACCTACAAGAACTACTTTAAACTCTCCATCAAACAAAACTAACAGAAAAAACAATGTTTTTAATACTCTTCACACTTCAGTTTCAGATTTGAAAAGTGTGCTAGCTCTGAGGTCTAGGTGGGGGCAGTGACCCCTTGCCCCCCCCTGTATACGCCCTTGTTAAAATTAACAGATAAGACTTGAAAGACTATTATCAGCTGATGTAGACTCTATAGTTTGTTTACCTTTGTCTGTCCACTGAGTAGCTCCCCTGCCCACTCCTTAGCATCATTTATAAACCCAGCATGTATTCTTTCATCCTGTATACAAATATTTTGTTCAAATAAACCATTAAACCCTACATCTGTATATATCCTTTATACAAATATTTTGTTGAAATAAACCATTAAACCCTGCATCTGCATATATCCTTTATACAAATATTTTGTTGAAATAAACCATTAAACCCTGCATTATACCCTTTATACAAATATTTAGTTAAAATAAACCAATAAACCCTGCATCTGTATATATCCTTCATACAAATATTTAGTTAAAATAAACCAATAAACCTTGCATCTGTATATATCCTTTATACAAAAATTTAGTTCAAATAAACCAATAAATCTTGCATCTGTATATATCCTTAATGCAAATATTTAGTTCAAATAAACCAATAAACCTTGCATCTTTATATATCCTGTATAAAAACATTTAGTTCAAATAAACCAATAAACCCTGCATCTGTATATATCCTTTATACAAATATTTACTTAAAATAAACCAATAAACCCTGCATCTGATACAAATATTTAGTTAAAATAAACCAATACCCCTTGCATCTGTATATACCCTTTATACAAATATTTAGTTAAAATAAACCAATAAACCCTGCATGTGTATATATCCTTTTTACAAATATTTAGTTAAAATAAACCAATAAACCCTGCATCTGTATATATCCTTTATACAAATATTTAGTTAAAATAAACCAATAAACCCTTGCATATAACTTACTGTATACGCCATGAAAATTATATAATATACAGTATAAAGATATCTGAGAAGACTAATGTGGGTTTTTACCAATTTTCTGAAAATACTTCTCAAAGTTTTGGAAGCAAATCTTTAAATGTCGTCTTTTCAATAATAAATCTAGAAAATCTGCGAACATCTTTGTGAATAACGAGAAACTAGAATAATGAGATAATAGAAACTAATAATGGAACAAGATTACTTATTTTCGATGATAAGATTAATTTTTATTTTCTCAAAATGTTCCTGAACATGACGTCTGTAGTTTATTGTACAATATTTTTACATTTTATGTCGTCGTTAATTAATAATTAAAAAAAACTAATTCTGAAAGCGTATCCACCCCCAAATCAGGAGTTTTGAACGTCGAATTTGCACTCAAACTCAGGATTTACAGATCTTTAAAAAGTTTAATATGTCTCAAATGAATCCTAAAGAAGTTTTCCACAACACTGCATACTCAGTTCAACTACCTTACATAGCCGGTCACTTCCTTTAAAGAGAGAAAACCCCAAGGGGGTTGGTTTTTACTAAACTCAAGGCCATCCAAAACCCGGGTCTTGACTTGAGCTTTACTTGGGTCTAAGCAGACGCAAAGACTGGGTTTTACTCGGGTTTAAGCTTTTAAAATCTCATCTCAGGAGAAGTGAGCAGATTTAAAATTAAAGATGATATAGACAAAACAAAAAAGCTTCATCAAAATTCCATGCTAAAAATATTAAAAATATTAAAGTTTTACACTATCAGGTTGAAAACTCAGTTTGTTAGTAGTAAACTTCCGTGTAGGATCAAAAGTTTAGACCTTCGGAATTTCTTGATATATTTTTAGGGTTGTGCATTCTTGGAAATCTTGGAGGATGCATGGAACTATATACAGGAACGCCCATCTCAGATATACGCATATTATTTACTGTACACTGTGGGAGGAATGTAAACAAACCCAGCGCCCCCACAGAAGTTGAAGGGAAAGGACTAAAGGTCTGATGTGATATAACAGTCCAACAAAAAACAATGATTTTTGGCTTTCTGGTCAATATGGAAAATACAATAGCAATATATTCTTATTCCACCCCATTGGCCCTTTTCCCTCAAAAATTATGCGTTGCCCCTGAATTCTTTGTTTGGATCTCCTCCCAATGCAGTACACGAATTTGACGCATGAGATATGGCGGTTCCTGGTCTATATATTTCTTGGGAGGATGGATCTACTTGGATTAGGTATACACTGTACATGATGGGATAGGGTCAACCTAAGATTATCTAAGAATACTTCCTAAACCACCTTTAGGTCCGTGTTATGTGGATTATAGCCTCGAGATTGATTAATCAATGTTTCCTGAGTAAAATTATCAAGAAATAAATATAAAATATCGATCAAAAAATGACACTTTCAGAAAAATTACGAAACCTGAAAACTGATGGAAAAAATCCAATATGTATCTATACAGCATTAGATGGTGAATTATTATTATAAATATTTATAAGTACACCATTTCATATCAATGTTTACTTTGTTTGTGAAATAAAATTTTACAATTATAATTATATTTGAGGAAAAAGCAAAGGAAAAGATAAAGACACAAATAATTGATAATTAACGGAACTGGGGACGTATTTTTACATAACTCGCCATTTTTATAGATTAGCATGTTGGATTCACAACGGTACACTAAAAACCGTTGTCTGATCAAGATGCATGAGAGATCCAACTATTTTTCTTAAAAATTCAGTGACTTGCAGATTTCATCGTTGGAAGCAATGAAGAAAATTATTAAAATTATGCACTTTTTAAAATAGGAAAGGATCGACTGTTGCATTGTCCATTAAAAAAAAAGAAAAGGAATGTTAACAATGAAATTAAAAAGAATAATACGAAGATAGAACCTGATCTGTAGAGAGTATACAGGAGATAAGATAATAATAATAAGATAGAACCTGATCTGTAGAGAGTATACAGGAGATAATATAATAATAATAAGATAGAACCTGATCTGAAGAGAGTATACAGGAGATAATACAACAATAATAAGATAGAACCTGATCTGTAGAGAGTATACAGGAGATAATACAATAATAATAAGATAGAACCTGATCTGTAGAGAGTATATAGGAGATAAGATAATAATAATAAGATAGAACCTGATCTGTAGAGAGTATACAGGAGATAATACAATAATAAGAAGATAAAACCTGATCTGTAGAGAATATACAGGAGATAAGACGACAAGCAACCACCATCAGAACTCCAGTAAAGAAGGTTAACAGAGATGAGAGAAGAAAACACCAATATTTTCTAAACAAAATCATAATTGGAAAGGAATTGAGTCTTTGCCACGAAGTCTGATCTTTTAATCCCAATATCTTTGCAACCCAATGTTGTACACCTTATAAATTTCAAACTAGAAACTATAAAAAATTAGATTTAAAGTAAAGAAAACAAGAAAAACTAAAATACTAAAAGTTTTTAAACATTCTTAGATTTTAATTCTATCAAAAAAAGAATAAGAAAAGAAAAAAAAAATATAAACCAATTTTTTTCTCAATCTCAAAGCTAAAATTTCATTAATTAGACTTGTAAATAAAATTTTACTTTAGTGAAGCACATACAGCTGTGAAATAGGAAAAGAAATTAAACATAATCTTGGATTGTATTTGATGAGATGGTAGGTACTTTCCAAAAAGCATTTTTCAAGGACTACTTCCCAAGTGACAATTTCCCAAGTGGCAACTTCCCAAATGTGCAATATCCAGCTTCCCAAAGGTTAGGTTAGCCCCTATGAGAAGCCGCAGGCTGCAATGGGGGCCGAGCGCTGCGGCTAGGATGGGCTAAGGGGCCGAGTGCTGTGGTTATACCAGGCAGGGGGCCTAGCGCTGCGGTTGGGACGGACTTGGGAAGTTGACGCTTGGGAAATTCCACATTTGGAAAGTTGACACTTGGGAAAATATCCTTGGGAAGTTGCCGTTTGGGAAAGATTCTTTGGGAAAGTACCTAACATCTTTAAGGATGTTACAAAGCAAATAGTTTTACAAAGGGCTCTAAAATCAAGATCAACAAAGAGAAATAAACACAAGAATTATCGTAACAATTTTATAAAAAACAATAATCAAAATGCATTCATAATCACACGATCATCGNGATCCACCTCCTCCCCTGCCTAGATACTTCTATTGATCAAAATATCAATATTTAAGTATTTTAATAGTAAAGGGAAAACGGGATACAACATCTATATAGATATATACAGTAAGTCCCATAAATCTTTGGAACTGGAAGACGACATTTAAGTAATTTTTTTACTTTTCTTTTTTCCTTTATTCATCCCAACTTTTTCTATAAAATGCAGACCTTCAATTTGAATTTAAATCTCATAATTTTTTTAGATTTCTAAGTTCACCCCACCATAACATCTGTTCACCCCACCATAACATATTTACCCCAACATATCATTTAATATGTTATCTTTTCTATACACCTCCTATACACCTCCTATACACCTCCTATACACCTCCTATACACCTCCTATACACCTCCTATACACCTTCTATACACCTCCTATACACCTCCTATACACCTCCTATACACCTCCTATACACCTCCTATACACCTCCTAAACAATTTCCAACGCTTCTTTCAAGTCGAATGTTGAAAGCTTCAAGACGTATTGAATTCTTTAATCCTGGTTCTGTTTACTATTCTCTAGTTTAAATTGACCCAGAGCACAATCCTGGTTCTGTTTACCTATCCTCTGGTTTAAATTGACCAGGGGAACAATCCTGGTTCTGTTTACTATTCTCTGGTTTAAATTGACCAGGGGAACAATCCTGGTTCTGTTTACCTATCCCCTGGTTTAAATTGACCCAGAAAACAATCCTGGTTCTGTTTACCTATCCCCTGGTTTAAATTGACCCGGAGAACAATCCTGGTATTGTTTACCTATCCTCTAGTTTAAATTGACCCAGAGCACAATCCTGGTTCTGTTTACCTATCCTCTGGTTTAAATTGACCAGGGGAACAATCCTGGTTCTGTTTACTATTCTCTGGTTTAAATTGACCAGGGGAACAATCCTGGTTCTGTTTACCTATCCCCTGGTTTAAATTGACCCAGAAAACAATCCTGGTTCTGTTTACCTATCCCCTGGTTTAAATTGACCCGGAGAACAATCCTGGTATTGTTTACCTATCCTCTAGTTTAAATTGACCCATAGCACAATCCTGGTTCTGTTTACCTATCCTCTGGTTTAAATTGACCCAGAGAACAATCCTGGTTCTGTTTATCTAAACTCTGATTTAAACTGAACTAGAGAATAGTCCTAGTTCTGTTTACCTATCTTCTGGTTTAAATTGAAACAGAGAATAATCCTGGTTCTGTTAACCTACACTTTGGTTTGCATTGACCCAGAGAACAATCTTGGTTCTGTTTACCTATCCTCTGGTTTAAATTGAACCAGAGAATAATCCTGGTTCTGTTAACCTAAACTTTGGTTTGCATTGACCCAGAGAACAATCCTGGTTCTGTTTATCTATACTCTGGTTTAAATTAACCCAGAAACCAATCCTGGTTCTGTTTATCTATACTCTGGTTTAAACTACCCCAGAGAACAATCCGGAGATGGAATTTAAAGAATTTGAGCCGCGGTTTAAATCCGCCAAAACCCGGTTTAACGTAAGCGCCGGCTTAAATCTTGAAACATTTGATACAATTTTAAGCGGAACCAACCAAATTTAAACCGCGGCTTAAATTTAAACCGCCGCTCAAATTCTTTAAATTTGGCCACTGGTTCTGTTTACCTATCCCCTGGTTTAAACTGACCCATTGAACAATCCTGGTTCTGTTTACCTATCCTCTGGTTTAAACTGACCCAGAGCACAATCCAGATCATCTCCAGGGATCTCGTCCGAACCTGACTCATTCATTTCAACCTGCATGAGTTTAACAAAATATTATAAATCTACCAAATTTAAGTAAAACGCTACTTAAGTTGGAAATCTAAATATTTTTAACTTTTAAATATTTTTAAAATGAATTGAGTCTTTGTCACAAACTCTGATTTTCTAAACCCTATCTTTGCAACCCCATGTCGTAAACCTTAGATATATTAAAATATGAATTCTGTTAGATCAAATCATCTAAACTTGAAATATCTAAGGTTTACACCCTCATGGGTATAAAGATATAGGGAGTTGAAGTTATGAGTTTGTGGCAAAGACTCAATTCTTTTAAAGAAAATATTTTTGATAATACGTAAATTAGTCAACCAACTTTATCTAATCAACACAAAGGTCAGATTGAAAAATATCAAAAAGGTTTTAATTGCATAATTTGTCCATTTTAAATCTGCTAAAATATGGTTGATAACCTAAGTAGTGCTGATCTCTTTATGTGTTCACTGTATTTAAATTATTAATTTTGATTTAAACAATAATTTCAAGTTTAAAGGAAAAAATATAAGAATAAAATATATTTCAAGTGTTCAGGTTTGACTAGAACTGAAATATCGTGACAGAACCAGAAAATTACAAATATCGATATAAACCATCCTCCAGGTATCTTTTAGTAGCATCCTCCCCTCCCCTCCTCCCTCCTCCTCCTCGTCCAGGTATCTTTTAGTAGCATCCTCCCCTCCTCCCTCCTCCTCCTCATCCAGGTATCTTTTAGTAGCATCCTCCCCTCCTTCCTCCTCCTCCATCCCCCTCCTCCAGGTATCTTTAGTAGCATCCTCCCATCCTCCCTCCCCCTCCTCATCCAGGTACCTTTTAGTAGCATCCCCTCCTCCCAAATGACTTTTTTTTTGAGTATCCCCCTCCCCTCAAAACTCTTTCAGGTATATGTAGCTTCATTAATATCCAAGAAAATAAAACATAACAATATAAGATGGACACAAAATTTGAAATTTCATTCTGTTTTGAATCCTAAATATAATATCTAGTATATCTTAGATAACACGGAAGACGACAAAAATTTTAAAAAATTCCAAAGTTATTTATGTTCTTTGAACTTCCAAACGACAAGTGTAGACATGGGCATTTTCTGAGGTCTGTTTAAACATTCAAGAGGTGTTGGTTTAACGAAGCCCCAGAAGACTGGGAGATGTTTACACACCACATACATTCGATTTTCTATCTATAAGACATTAATCAAAACCATTTTCAAAATCCAATCGTTTTGAAAAATCTTTTGGTGTTTAAAACCCTTGAATTTTCTATACCGGGTCTCAAGACTATTTCCATCCATAGGCAGGTGCAGTCACCTGTTTAAGTCCGATAATGGTTTTGTAAAATTCAGGTCATTTTTGGGACGATGTCAGGTCGGGTATTTTTTTTCATCACTTGTTTGGTTACTTTTATGTCAATTTCCAAATATTTCTGCAATTTCTAGATATCGACCAAAATGTTCGACATTTCGATCAAAATGTTTGTTATTACCACCTGATGTTCGATATTTGACCAAAATATTCGATATTTCCACCAAGCTGTTCGATATTACGACCAAAATGTTCGATCTTTCGACAAAAATGTTTGATATTACGACCAAAATGTTTGATATTAAGACCAAAATGTTTAATATTAAGACCAAAATGTTTGATATTACGAAAAAAAAGGTTTGATATTACGACCAAAATGTTTGATATTACGATCAGAATGTTTGATATTACGACAAAAATGTTTGATTTTTCGACCAAAATGTTCGATATTTTAACCAAAATGTTCAATATTACGGCAAAAATGTTCGATAAATCGACAAAAATGTTTGATATTACGACAAAAATGTTTGATAAATTGACCAAAATGTTTGATAATTTGACCAAAATGTTTGATATTACGACAAACATGCTTGATAAACCGACCAGAATGTTTGATATTACGACATACATGTTTGATAAACCGACCAGAATGTTTGACATTTCAACTAAAACGTTAAGGATTTCTTCTCTTTTGATTCAATATTATATCTATGATATTTATTTAAAATTCGAAACATTTGTTAAAATATAATATTTGTTGATTAGTTTGATATCTTGAGTCCAGTGAAGTGAATTTTCTTGGAGAAATCTGACTGTAGATGAGAATCTCCTTTTGTTCCATCAATAAGCATTGCAACATACACCTAAACCAGGTTTTAAGTAAGTTTGTATCGGCTCAATTTCAAGTTACGTTTACTTCAAAAGTTACAAACCCCCAATCACAACAATACCCTTTCACCCTTGAACTGAGTAACAATGAAGATGAAATTGTCGTTTTTATCTTGAAAACTTTCAATTTCCTTACTTATCTCTGCAGCATAAATCCGCAAGTTACTTCTAGAGAAAACCCCGCATTGGATAAAAAACAAAGTTAACCATAGTTTTTGCTCACACAAGAGTTTAAATGCTAAATCGGATATGGCATATATTTACTTTAACAGAAGGAATCCCGTTATCAGTCCCTTTAAACTTATTTATCTTTATTTTAAATATATTTTTTACCTCGTCGTTTTTATTTAATCTTTGGAAAATGATAACACTTGTTGTAGCGTGCAGGTCATCATCTCTACCTAGAATATATTTAAATTTAGTTTCACAAAAATCTGAAGTGTTCGGAAATCTTTTTATCTTGAAGGTCGAGGTCGTTAAGAACGTGACGGGGTGCGGGTTAGGCATAATGATTTTTGTTAAATATCAGCCAACCTCGCCCACTGGAGCTTTGTGCATTTATGTTTAAAAAAAAACTATTGAGAGTTCTCCCAGAGATGATTACTCAGATAGGTTAAGACTTCAGAGACGATTCCACAGAGAGGTTTAAAATCTATTGACTATTACCTACAGAGGTTGAGAATTCAGAGACTATTACCATGAGAATTTGAAATTTTAGAGACGATTATCTGCAGAGAGGTTGAGCCTTCAGAGAATATTACACAGAGAGGTTGAGACTTCAAAGACGATTACACAGAGAGGTTGAGACTTCAGAGACGATTACACAGAGAGGTTGAGACTTCAGAGAAGTTGAGACTTCAGAGACGAATACACACAGACGTTGAGACTCAGAGACTATTACTAAGAGACGTCGAGACTTCAGAGACGATTACACAGAAAGGTTGAGACTCAGAGACTTTTTACAGAGACGTTGAGACTCAGAGACTATTACCAGAGAGATTGATACTTCAGAAACGATTACTCAGAGAGGTTGAGACTTCAGAGAGGTTGATACTTCAAAGACGAATACAAAGAGACGTTGAGACTTCAGAGACGATTACACAGAATAGTGGAGACTTCAGAGACTAATACACAGAGACTTTACGACTTTAGCGACGATTACCTATAGAGGTTGAGACTTCAGCGACGATTACACAGAGAAGTTGAAACTTCAGAGACTATTTAATTTTCTGTTAAGGTTATTTCAGGGGTTTCAGTTGGAAATTGGCATAACCTTTTTAATTCGTATTTAAAAAATATTTTAGGCTTTATGTCGTCTTTTAATTCTCGTTGTATGTGGAAAGCATTGTAGGAAATGTTTATTAGATCCAAACCGCACTGACCTAGCTACTTTTCTTTAATTTTATACGGTTTATTTTGTAAATAATGTTTACAACATATTGTGGGTTTTTATTGTAAAATGAATATAATATAATGAATATACATTAAACACAATTTGACCTAAATAAAGTTGATTTAACAAATAGTTAATAATTTATTACGATAGATTTTCTTTATCCAAAAATAGTTATTTTTTCGCTAAATTTTGCTCAGTGGGGATGTTATGTTACGTAATTATCCGACATCTTTTCATAAGTAAGGTCTATAAAATATTAAATATATTATAAGGTATTAGGATACAGAAACTTCAACAAACTAGCTATTCATTAATTCTGACCTCAGATTAAATACATTTTCAAATATATGCAATGGTCGTCGTTTATATTAATACAATAAAGACGAAGTAAACAAGAAGCTGTTAATTAGCAGTTTCTCTCTGTTTTTATGTTTATGTGTATCCATGCTGTAGAAATCAAAAATTGAAATCAAAAGTCGTCTTCAATGTATTGATATATACAACGACGACTATGTATATATATATATATATATATATATATATATACATAGTGGATCTAACCTAACTTCTAATCAATATAAAACCTACTTATACCGAATACAGTGTCCTCTTTAACCATCCCAGATGACCGGCCAATTATCTCAGGTCTTGAACCTCCTGATCTCTCCAGAAATAGGTCAACACTCAGCTAAACAAACCAATATTATTATTAAATAAAATTATAATTTTTACAACTTTTAATTACTACTGAAAAGGACTGTCGCGTAAGCTTAAGTGAGGGGCATGCCTGATTCACAGCAGATACCCCTGAAACCTTTTTCTGATAAATAATGTTGAAGATATCTTCGTTTTCATTGCCTGAAAAGTGTTTTATTCTAATATTCCTCAAATAGAAATGTGCCGGTCACGTTTGTTGAGAAACCACAATTGAAAATAATTAGTTAAAAAACATGGACATCTAATTAATACTTGATCAGATCAAGCTTTGAAAGATACCGTTACGCACATGGAGGGTCACTTGAAATTATGTTCGGTAATTTTTCCAAAGGCCTTCCCAAGGGTATTTTCCCAAGTGGCAACTTCCCAAATGTGCAATTTCCCAAGCACCAACTTCCCAAGTATGTCCTAGGCGTAGCGTTCGGCCCCCCTAGTCCATCCTAGCCGCAGCGTTCGGCCCCATTGCAGACTGCGGCGCCTCAGAAGGCCTAACCTAACCTTTGGGAAGTTGCCGCTTGAAAAATTGCACATTTGGGAACTTGCCGCTTGGAAAATTGCACATTTGGGAAGTCGCTATTTGGGAAAATGTCTTCGGGAAAGTACCTAGCACCCTTGAAATTACGTCTACAGTCCCTTTAATCGGGAAATCGAGAGGATAATTAATTAACATTAATTATCCCCACTTAATCCATGGTCCCGGAGAACGAGCATCGCGATGGAGGTCTCAAAAGTTCAAGTTATAATATTTTATCTCAAATCTGCTCCTGGATAAACTTTTTTGAGATTTTTCTCATGACAGAGAGATTTAGTTCAACAACAACAACGCTGAGATTTGAATGACGACCTAAGGCTGTTTATGACGAATTGGAGGTTGAACTGGATATATAGTCGTTTAATTGTATCATGTATAATTATTTATTTTGCAAATATTAAACAAGTGTTAAGCAGCATGTTACAGTTAGACCCTAAATGAGCCATACATCGAAAGAATTTATCAAATGTCGTCTTGTCAATTTTCCGATGGGTTTTATACTATTTTACGTAAATCTCAGTATTTGCGAAAATAAATAAACAACCATGAATATGCAGGAACAGTTTTAAAGAGCTTGATATAATCATTTAATTAAAAAACTTAATATCTGTATGGCTTATCTAGGGTTTAACTATAGCAGGAATGTAAAGGAAAGGACTCAAAAAGTTTCGGACAGTCGTCTCTAGCGTACCATTTTGATTGGGTAACCCTGTCTTTACAGGGAAGCAAAGCTAGTTTTCCTCCCTAGGACAGAAAAGACAACTCACCATATGTCCTCTAACTGCTACAAAGAGTCCTGTAAAAGTGAACTGATAAACACCGTCCTGCTCTACCCTAAACCGTCCTGTCCTGGCATTCATCCCTGGAGTTTGGATACTGCACGCATTGTAGGTTATGATAGATTCATCTTTCACAGAGGTGGTTCGGTGGCAGGAGAAGGTTGGAGGCATCACTAAAATGGGATTTTAAATCGAAAAAAAATATGTTTAAACATGTTTAAAGATCTTAATTGTAACTTGAAATGGGGGTTCATATAAAGAGTATCTTTAAGAGTCTGGACTCTGGATGTTACTATGCTTGGAAACTTAACTTTCGCTTTAAAAGTCAACATACTCAACTTATAAACCAAGCTAAGAACATTTCTGTGGTTTTGCCAAGTTTCTCAATAAAAATTTCAACAAATTGGTAAAGGAGTTTAATGAGTTATGATCGGAAATTTATACTATACAGACAAACAGAGATTACTACTATTGTGTCCAAACAGTCCCCACACCATGACCCCTAAAAATACCCGAACGTGTACCGTTTACCCGCACTTTGTCGAAAATCTAGATTTGAGCTATTTTTTTCTTTAAAAGTCCACCAACTTTAGCTTAGAATCTAAAAAACCAAGCTAAGAACATTTCTATGATTCGATTTCCCCAATCAAAATTTGAGGCAAATCAGTCCAGGGGTAATGACCTTTGATCGGACAACCAATCAGACAGACAAATAGAGATTACTAAATTATATTTATAGATATATTTGTGTACCACTGATATTATTTCTTTCTTTAAAGTCGCGAAATTCAAAATCAAAAAATCAAGAAATCCCAAGATAAATAAAAGATGAAATAAGAGACACTATGTAAATAGTTAATGCGTAGATAAAGGGTTAAACTTAAACGTCAGCGATTAGAAACATGATGGAAATCTTTTTGTGTAAGGTCTCTAAAAATGAGTATACCCATTGCGTTGACTTGAGCGGTGAGATTTTCCAACTTCTGTCTGAGTTCCTCTACAAGATCAGGATCTGGCAATAAAGATGAAATTAGGATTTTTTTTTATAAAACTTCTAATACTGTTATCGTCGTATATATCAATAAAAAGAAGACGACTTTCTGTTTAATTTTGATTTCTACATAGCTTTCAGTCATTGATATACATAAACATATGAAGTTGTCAATAAACAGCTTCTCTTTGTTTACTTGTAAACTTGTAATTTAAAAAAATCTTGTTAGAAATCAAAACTTAAAATTGTCTTTATTGTATTGATAAAAACGCCGACCACTATGGTGTCATTGATAAATAATAGATATCTAAACCATATTAGTCCTAAATTGAGTTTGTGATTGATTTGTTTTTGCAATAAGTGACAATCTAGTCTACATAGACGATATGAAAAATATTACTGCTTTATCTACAAAAATCAGATTTGAATTACATTATCAAAATAGGAAATAATAGATTATCTAATTTCTCTGAGAGTGTTTGCAGATATTATTGAGCCCTTAACAAGGGATTTCAACATGATAAAAGAACACTGCACACTCAGGAGAAGTCCCTGTTATACATGAACCAAATCAAGGTGTTTTTGTGTATTGTGCAGTCAGAGAAATAATTAGCATCAGCAAAACAAAAACAAGAAGAAACAAAAGATTCACACAAACAAACTTTAAACAGGATAAAAACATGCTGAACCTTTCTCTAAAATATTTGTAAACTGTACCGACAGGTTTTTGAGTGGAAGGCGGTTGTGTAGTAGTGGTAGTTGTTGTGGTGGTAGTGGTTGGTGTTGTTATTGTCGTGGTTGTAGTTGTTGTTGTTGTTGTTGTACTGGTTGTAGAGGAATTATCTGTAGTATCCTGGGTTGGAAGACCGGAAGTAGTTTGCTCCAACCTCTCTGAAGAAGAATCACTGGGTTGTGTTGGTCTAGGAGCAATGGACCGTAGGTAGGGATACCCAGATATTTCTGACAAGGACGGCCTAGTTACAGAGGAAGGTGTTGGGAAGGAGGGTGTAGAATAGTTTAGTTCTGGAAGCTTGCTTTCCTCATCCTTTTCGGAGTTTAAAGTGCGATTCATTTGTGATTCAAGACTATCTATGCTCCGGTCAATTGATTCTAAATTTGGGTTCGGAGTAAATACTCCAGGTGGAGTAGTTGGACTGCTAGATGTATCAGACGTAGTTGTTGATCTACTCTTTTGATTGAAGCTCAAAGGTTGCAGAGAGAGAATAGGGTCGGACGGGAAAACGATTTGGTTAGATTTATCCTGGACGGATCCAGTCCTTGTCTCTTCATTAGTCGCCAGTCTCGGAGAAGGACTTGGCATTGAGTTCTCCGACATGAATTGATTTGCAAATCTTAGAGAGATGGAAGGTTTGTCTGAAACCGGAGTAGGTTCGGATGTTATCTCTCTAGCTCCGACATCTATAGAGTTAGAGAGAATAACGTCTGGCGGAGGTTGGATGTTCATCCAACGTCCAACAATCAGAGGTTTATTCCCGGAGTAAGAACTGGATCTACTTAAACCTGAAATATATTCTCAAAACAAACAATATTTGGAATAATGTTGTACAAAATGAAATATAGTATATACATAGCTTTTTAGCAAGTCCCATATATTTTTAAGCATGCAGATCTTTTGATAAATTCAGGTTGGTCGGGGAAATGTGTATATTTGAGCATTTTTATTACTATTTCATGCTAAAAAACTTCAAATATGGTTCAAACAGTTTTCTTAATTTTCGAGAATTTTTCCGTGTTAAATCATTGAACAATGTTCTTTTTCAAAATAAAGAATAAAAAAATGGTAGAAAACACTGATTCCATAATATCAATCTCAGGGTAATAAAAATATACATATATTCTGGGGTTTCCAATCGGAATTCCGTTGCGCGCAATTGCGCGCAATGGTTCCTTCCGCTTGCGCCATTTCATTGCGCGCAATTGCACTATAATTGCGAAAAAAGGAAGCAATTAAATATTCGCGGAATTGCGTTGAATTGCGCGGAATTGCGTGCATCGGAATTGGTTTCATACCTAAAAATCAATAATTTTAAATCTTATACTTACAAATTTATTCAGCAGATACAAGAATGGAATTAAATATCTCTGTTAATTTTAAAGTAATCGAGGCCATGGAGTGTCACTAGTTTTAATAGTTTTCAAATTTTTAAGTTTCTTGTGGTTAAGCTACTAATTAACAATTTAATATTACACATTTTTCATTTGTTCACATTGGATAAACATTAAAATGGAAACTTTTTTTGGTTAAAATTGTAAGGTTCATTTAATAAAAATTAGATATTTTGCTACAGTGAGAACCAGAAAACTATGGAACAGAAAGACAACATCACAGTGTATTTAATATTATAGTTACAAGTCGAACAAAATTACTTAGTAACTTATTAAATCACTTATCCAGTTACATGGGACTGCTTGAGTCTAAACTGTCGTCTTCCTATGCAAGAGTTTTCTGCACATGAATATTATAAAACAAAAGATTAAGTTTAAATTCAATTTTCTTAGCATTTGAGATTGAAATATTAGTGAAGTTCAGTTCCAAGGTTTAAATTGAATATTTTGTTGTTGAAAAGAATTGCGCGCAATAATTAACCGCATTTATTGCGTGCCATAAGGTTTAAATTGAATTTTATTAAAAAATTGAAACACAACGCAAGAAAGTTGGACGGAATTGCGCGCTATAGGGCGCAATTCCATTGGATTTCTTGCGCGCAATTATTACGGAATTGCGCGCAAGGGCTCGCAATTGCGCGCAAGTAAAATCACTTGCGTTGGAAACCCTAATATATTTACAAGGACTGAAGAGAAAAGAAGGACAAAAGTATTTTTCAAGAAAGAGTTCAAAGTGCGCAGATTCTTGTGCGTAAAAATCCAAATCAAAGAGTCGTGTGCACTGAAACATTTCTTTACCTGGAGCTGTTCTTGGCTCCAGAGATCTAGGGGAGATCTGTTTTTCATCAATCCCTAAAATTTAAGAGATTTAAATTTTTTTATTTCTCATAACTCAATGAAGCCCTTGATTAAAAAAATTATATAATTAAAATAGATATTAAATAAATTCTACAAGTTAGAATCGCATCTTCTTAAAAATGATGAAATATTGCACACGGTAAAATGCAATACTTTCATCAATCCCATGATTAAAAAAAAATTTATTTCTCGGAATAAAATGAAGCTTTTGATTTAAAGAATATAAATATCTAATAAAAACTATATTAGATTTGTGTCACTAAAGAGTCGTTTTTTGGCCCCCTTTTCAGTTGACGCATGCAGTTGAATGAATTATTCAAAGGCTTAAGAACAAGATTTTGTTAATTATTTATTTGACGAGACGAAAATAGTGATTCAGAAACCAGGGGCGTACGAGGGGAGTCCGGGCACCCCCGCTCCCCCTTACTTTAAAATATCACTTTTTCCCTAAACTAAGAAAGTTTCATTAAAAAAAGCTTTATAATGGAGATTAATATTTAATATAATGGAGATCAAAATGTTTTAGTTCTAACAAATCAAGGTTTCTTTTGATCTTGGAAAGCTCATCAATGGATCTTCTTGTAGAACAGGAAGCATCAGAACAGCTACCAGAAGCTTCAAAAATGCTTCTAGAAAATCAGAACTTCTCCTAGAACCATCAGGACTGCTATTAAAAACTTCGAAACTACTTCCAGAAGCATCAGGACTGCAACCAACTACTTCCAGAAGCATCAGGACTGCAACCAACTACTACCAGAAGCATCAGGACTGCAACCAACTACTACCAGGAGCATCAAGACTGCAACCATCTACTACCAGAAGCATCAAGACTGCAACCAACTACTACCAGAAGCATCAAGACTGCAACCAACTACTACCAGAAGCATCAAGATTGCAACCAACTACTACCAGAAGCATCAAGACTGCAACCAACTACTACCAGAAGTTTCAGGGTTTCTACCAGACGCACCAGGACGGCTGCTAGAAGCTTCATGACGGCTGCTTTAGTTTCAAATTAAGCTTGTTTGAAGCTTCTCTGATTAGCAAAATTTCCTATTGATTACCTATTGGAAGCAAGGCAGTTGGCCTAGGGGCAGGGCTTTAAAACTTTGATGCTATTATTTATGAAATCCTGAGTCAGCGCCTGAACCTGAACTTGATCCTGAGTCTGCGCCTGAACCTGAACCTGAGAATGAAGCTGGTCCAGAATCTGAAACTGAACTTGAAATCGAACTAAAACCACCTGTGAACATTGCAAACCCAGTTTTTACTTTCTGTGAAGAAAAAGATTGTACAGTTTGCCCAGTTAGACACAACGCAATGAGAGCATATGAAAAAGTAGACAACCAAATTAAATATCAGTTGGTTAATAACTACAGGAAGTTCTGTTGTTCCTAGCAATGGATGACGAGGGAGTCAGCTGCGAAATATCACTGGCATTCAAAGTCTAATCTGTGTCTATCATATGAATCATTTATATAGAAAATAAATAATGTAGTTTTTCCATTTATGAAAGTTGTAAACTTGTAATACAATTGTAATATCTTAATCTCTGCTACAAAATAAATATTTAGATCTAAAAAAAATTATTTATGAAAATACCTAAATTTGAGGACCCTAATATTCACCTTTTAAAAGTTATCGCATAAACAAACCCTATTTTAATATCATTTTGTATGCGCACATTGGATCATTTTTATATCTGCACATTTCATTTTTATACTTCAATTTGTTCATGCCTATTTAGAAGCATATACATGTGTCATTTCAAATTTTTTTAGATAATCCGGATTATCTAAATGTGAACTTTGATTTTCTAAAGACAACGAGAAAATTTGGTTGGTTTTCTAAGCCTTGAGACCGTGGCAGTTTACACCAATACTGAGACCGTAGCTTCTGAAACTCGGAAAATTTCAATAACAAATTGATACCTCTTTTTTAATCGCACTTTTTAGTCATAAAAAGCCAAAATATGAAGAAACTAATTTTGTAAAAGTTTAAAAATATACATTTCGCAGTTGCCTGATTGACTTCAGACAGAAATTTACATTTTGAGCAACATTGCAACATTGCTACTATACTATACATTGCTACTCTTTTGCTGTCTTATTTGGAACTGTAGTTCATTGAATGAAGTAAACCTTAGTTTTAGTATAATTACGCACATCAAATGTATTATTATGGACGTGCACTTTACTCTATATGATCAAATAGTTTGCATAATTAAAAATGTTATCAATATTTTTTCAAAAAAGGGAGTTTTAAGGGGGGCACAATGTTGCAAAGGGGGGGGGGGCACAACAACAAAAAAATGTGCCCCCTCTACACAAATGCTTTCGTACGCTCCTGTCACACACATTTACAATTTATTCCAATTAGACGCGCACATCCGACACCTATTGAATCAAGAGACTGCAGAGAGGGGGCGGGTATTTTAAAGCAAAAATTGTACGTTGATATTTTGTTTTGTATTTTCATCTAAAATTGAATGAGTTGCTTCCAAAATCATCGTTTCTTAGACAAAGTTTAGATGGAATCTGTTGTGAATCGTTGATGGCTTTAAAATGATAAATTATTCTACAGATTCATTATTTTCAAACCAACTTTTTTCCATCCAACATTTTTCCATTCAACATTTGTCAATTTTACATTTTTCAATCAAACATTTTTCTATTCAACATTCTTCAATTTAACATTTTTCAATCCAACATTTTTCCAGCCAACATTTTTCCAGCCAACATTTGTCAATCCAACATTCCTCAATCCAACATTTGTCAATCAAGAATTTTTCCATCCAACATTTTTCCATCCAACAATCTTCAATCAAACATTTTTCCATTCAACATTTTTCCATCCAACATTTGTCAATCCAACATTTTTCAATCAAATATTTTTTTATCCAACATTTTTCCATCCAACAATCTTCAATCAAACATTTTCCATCCAACATTCTGCAATCCAACATTTTTCCATCCAACATTTGTCCATCCAACATTTTTCCATCCAACATTCTGCAATCCAACATTTCTCCATCCAACATTTTTTAATCCAACATTTGTCAATCCAACATTTTTCCATCAAACATTCTTCAATCCAACATTTTTCAATCCAACATTCTTCAATCCACCTTTTTTCATTCAACAACCTTCAATCCAACATTTTTCCTTCCAACATTTTTTCATCCAACATTTTCCAAGGAGTAGTTCACTCTCTGCTATATCTTCGGTCAGTTTACTGCAATTTACTGCAGAACGCAACGAAAGCTTAGTTAAGGGTTAGTTGCGTACCGCCGGTTAAACCAGTTCTCTTTTACGCAGGGCTAAAGAGAAGTGGTTTAATTGAGTCTACGTAGTTCAACTACTTCTTACATTTGTTAATCTGGTTCCAGGATTTGATGAAAGCTAGGTATGAGTAATGGCTTCTATACTTTCGTTTATGAATAATAAATGTAAACCAATAACTGAAACTTTAATTCAAGGTGAAACCTACAGGACTCAAACAATTTAGTTTTTAATCTATGTTTTAAGAAAATTAGAAAATTCCTTATAAAAAACAGTGATAAAATCATTTCATCTTTTGAGAATAACTTCTTAAAATATGATAAACCTGACTTCTCCGTCCTTACCTTGATCCGGGTCCAGAGTAAAGTTTACGTGAGGGTTGGTTTGATTCTCCAGGTCCCCAGTATACCCTTGATCTCCAATATTCCCCTGGTCTCCTTGGATCTTCTCTGGGTCTAATCTACCCTCTGGGCCCCACTGTTGCTCCGGGTGTCTATGTCTATCTGGAAACTCTCCGATCCTTCCCTGAACCAATCCCAATCCTACAAATATGGAGACTGTTATATAACCTGAGCTGAAATGGTGGATATCAGGATTAAGGCTTAATACACTCATTTTCTTAATCTCCAGATTAAATATTGCTTGCTCTCCTCATGAATTTAATCTTCAGATTAAATAATAGATCGGGATTAAGGATATTTCATTCTAAAGTTTTCAGCTCAGTAAAATGACTTTAATTATATATTGAAGAAATTTGTATTTATGAAATGAAGCGCAAATTTTTATTACGCCGCGCAGGTTTTTCACTAAACCAGCATTTTGAGCTCCTTTTAACACTGAATCCTTGGCTCCCTTGGGACATGATTACAACAAAGTTTAAAGAAATATAAAAAGGAACGCTTCTAGGGAACAAATTAAACAATTTGACTTAAACATTTTTTTGTTTAAGAAGACCAAGAGTGTGGAGGGTGTTTCAATTAGAAAAAAGACGGTTATTATGACCACAATTAATTATATTTTGATGGATCAAAACCATATTTGTATTTTAGTTCTATCAATCATTCTGAATAATTAATGTGACCAGAACACAAAACTATTTAAGTAATTTACAATGGTTCCCAGAAAACTATGGAATACACCAACGACTTTAAGACTAAATATTTTGCTTCAAACAGTCCAATGAACATGAGACGCAACAATTGTGTCTAGTGTACACTGACCCGGACCCAATTCACATAATAACTTTATTTTTAAGTTAATTATAGTGCACCAAAATATTCCAGTATATAAAGATCACTGTATAAACTTGGATTTAACAGAAACAACATTATACCGGTTCCCTACTTTTTCCAAGTGCAAGTTTTTGCCACAAATTTAATTTTCTAATTCCTATATCTTTGCAACCTGATTGTGTAAACCTTTGATATTTTAAACTTAAATTATGTGTTTCGACATAAATTAAATAATGACATTGGGTTGCAAAGATATAGTGATTAGAAAATTGAATTTTTGGCAAAAGCTCAATTCCTTTGAAGACAACATTTAAGCAATCTTTTCTGCAATTGATGTTGTTAAAAGAAAATAATTTTACCAGTTTGCTGTGGTCTTTCTATTCCATAATTTGATGGGTCACATGATCAGGGTTCTCATTTGTAATAATTAAATCTTTTCTGCAACTTGTCATATACCTGAGGCCGAATTTTAAGAATTTAAATCGCGTCGCTGAACCGCCAAAAATCGGTTTCAATTCTCAAATTTGAGACGCGTCTCAAATTCTTTAAATTCGGCCTCTGGTGTACTTTTAAAGGTTATTATGAACAAAAATCTGTGTTTTTAAAATATTAAGCTCTGAGAAGAAGGTTCAGTAAGCTCGGTACCTTCATAATGATGGTGCATCTTGTTAAAGAGAATCAGGATTAGACAAATAGTTAAAACATCTACTGCGAGCAGAGCGAGTACTCCGTAGCAGGTGGACGTTTTCCTATGGGAGCAGGTTTCACACGGAGTAGGACGATAGTTCCAGCTCTCTCCAAACTCAGAACCTAAACAATATTCAAAATACAGGGTGTCCCGATAAACATGGGAATTCAGTAACGAATCCGAGCTCGGCTTTGTTAAGAATTAGTTTTGTAATACCTGATTTCAAAAGCCATAATCTAATTATATTTCTACTATAGACTTTATGAGTAGGTATCACTATACCAAACCAAAGAATTATTTAAAAAGACGATATCGAATTCGTCACTGAATTTTTTTTTGTAACCGATAAACGTAAAAACGGCTGAACCGATCGGGTACAAATATTTTATGGGACCTCACGAGCACAAGGAAGGTTTATGGAAGCTCAGAAAAACTAAAAAATGGTCTACACAAAATTTTTTGGTTTCAGTAAAATTTTGAAAATCCAGGAAATAAAATTGTAAATTCGCAAAACTTGTCATCATTTTTTTATCGAAGAATAAAATTGTGAAAGATTGAGCAGCAATTAAAAGTTAAAATAGAATATGGTTTATCTTCTTTATTTTAAAATATTTTCATGTTTACTGTTCTGTTTTCTTTATTTACCATCTAACGAAGGTCGTCTTTTCCTTGACCCACACTGTCCAATATCAACCTTCTTCTTTAATCCTGGAATCTTGAGAGAGAATCCTTTACTCCCCCTGGATCTTCGTAACCCGCTCCGTCCTCTATGATCAGGATCTGTAAACTCCGTCTTGCAGCTCAGGGTTGGGGATCTGGGTACAAGTAAATTGATAACTTTGTTATTTTAAAGGTATGTAATCTCCAAAGATTGGTGTACAGGGTTCACCACAAAGAATTGAGATTTTAGAGATGCCTGTACAAAAATAGCCATCCAAAATCTCATTCTTTGTGGGTATCCCTGTACATCAATAGCATTGTTGTTATCTATATCGGGATAAAGTTTCGTGATTTAATAATGCATTGAGGTTGGATTTTCCCAGATCTATGGCATTGAGATTTGAAAGTTGTCATAAAATAAGGAGAGCAGGTATTAATGTAATCAAGTTACATGATCCAGCTGGGTCATGTATAAGTTTTTAAGTTTGATTTGATGTGGTTGAACAAAGGAAATATTGACTTTGTATTTATTTTTTCTTTAAATTTAGATTTTCAGAGTGCGTTCTTCGTAGACATTTGATACCTAGATCTGGCAGTCTTGGATCCGTCCTTAGACCCGGAGTAAACCGGATCTCCTAGATCTATACACTCCAAGGGTGAAGGTTCTCCGATGACCCTGTGCCCCTCTGGTACCGGAGCAAGGTGCAGGTTTGTTCTCCTGCTCTCTTTTCTTTGTAGAGATTCCTGGATATATTTAAACCTAGAGATCTAGTACACAGTGAAAATATTAGTTTATATATATATTTATATATATATATATATCATTGTAATCTTGTCCTTTTCTTCATGACAAATTAAAAGAAGTGAACAAATTGGAGGTTTAAACTGTTATTTCCCAAACTTGGTTTTTTGAAAATACTCGAATCTGTTGCCACTTTTTGATAATTGTTTATAGAATATATAGGTTATATAAAGGGTTACCAGTAAAGGATAATACTTCAGAGACGACTGACGGGTTTTATTCTGTCTTTTTCTTACGTCAATGGTTCTGTGCACCTGTAAACTTGTTTCCTATTTTCACTTATGATTAAAAATACCAACATAAAATTATATTTAACTCATTGTAGGCAATTAAACCTTTAGCTTGTCGTATTTAAAGTGTTTACGGTCTTCATTTAAGTCTCATCCTTTTTGGGTACCCCTTTATTTCTCGTTCCATAATGTGTACCTGAGTAGGTTTCATCTCTTGTGTTCCGTCCTTAAAACTCTCACTCAAAAACTGACGGAACGAGTTTTTCCTCTCTTCTTTGTGGGGTTTCCTATCGGAGTCTTTTCCATTAAACACATTCATCTTGTTGAAATAATCCTTCTCCACATCGTCCTCAGCTATAGTTGGGACGGAACTATCAGGAGCAGTTCCAAATATTCTCGGATCATAGACAACCTTAGATCTGGACTTGTCCTGGGTTCCATTTACTGACTGGGATAAATCAACCTTTACACTCTTGAGAAAGGTTTCAGGCAAGCTCTGGCTTAGGTTGTCTACTCCTCTCTCCACCTTGAGTAATCCGTTCTCCGATCTACCCGTTCTGTTTTCTTTAGTTCGGTTTCTCTTGGTTTCATTGGGTGAAGATGCTGAGGATTGATAACCCTGATCCTCGTTGGAGTTTATATATTTACCGTTCTGATAAACCTTCGTAATTGAGCTCCCCAGGTTTAAACTCTTGTCGGTAGAAAACTGCTGAGAGAGACTTGAAGATATTCCCTCGCTTCCTGATGAACTGTTCCCCTTAGAGTTAGGACGGGAAGAGAATGAATCTTCGTCATTATCTGTATCGTCGGCGAATGATCCCGAGTTCTTTCCGTTCCGAAAATCTTCGGACGCTTTTCCTGATCCTTGATCCTTCCCCCCTCGTCTATTAGCCTCGTTAATAAGATTATTAAACTCAAAATCACTTTCTTTCCTGGAATTTATTTCGGCGTAGAATATCTTATGTTCGTCTATCTGCCCCTGCTTTCCGCCGTCTACCAACCCGCTCCGCCTGTCTGCGGCGGAGAAGTCCTCTTGAAATTCGTCCACAACCGTCAAGGACGGAGCAGAAGTAATATCTCGATCATGTACATAAAGTTCTCCTCGAAGTTGGGCAAGTTTTGCCTTCCTCTCCGCGAGAAGGTCTTTATTTTCCATTTTTAACCTGGTTCAACCAGCAGGATACATCTTTACTCCAGGTTCATGAAACCTTAACTGCTCCGAGTATGAAAAGAGTATAAGTGGTTGGATATGGATACGACTTTTCTCAAACAGGGATAAATAATACTTTTTTTAATCCTTTAACATTCATATACACAAATCAGGGGGTAAAAGGAATTTTTCTTTTTCTAAAATTGAAATAGTAATTTTTTATTATGTTAAACGCATTTATGTTGGGTTTGCTAGGTATCCATGGAGACCTAACACATACTGAGGGGTGAGAAAGTTAGAATTCCTAACCCTAAAACTTTGGTCGATAAAATATATAATTCGCCAACACTTTCAAGCAGGAAGTATATTATTCATGTTTCAAGGTTTAAACCATTTAATCTTTAGAAAGTCCGGAACAGATAATATTTCTCTGTTCCAGGTTGTACCCGGAGAAGGACTGAATCCTAGAATACCCTTGAAATAGGACCGGCTGGTTATGAATAATGTATTTGGTGGATAATGTCAATCAAGCACGAGATCCGAACAGCTTCCATCCAATCCAGCTAAATCTGATTTATGGACAATCAATAATAAAACAGTTTAGAAGATAAGGTTTAACATGTTTACACAACATAACATCCATAATCCAGCTCTTACAAAGCAGCACAAAGTAAATATATCTGATAATTGATTACACATCATTTATATAATAGATATTTATTTTAACTTCTAAGCACAAACTATTGATTTTTGTCTGATTGACGCACAAACTTGACACAATTCAGATTCATGCTGGATAACATTTGAACCGAGGATGGAAATAGTTGAAGACGACATTCCATTCCGTGTTCTAGTTAGAAGGAGAGTTTTTTCATCGCCTTCTCAGATAGATCCTCATTCAGACTTTGATGAACCGACCACATATCCTAAAAACAAATTGCCATAAATTTTAAATAAAAATGAATAATAAGTTTTATTGTATTTCTGAGTTATATATTTAAGGAATTTAGTCTTAACTTTGCCACAACCTTCTGTTCTAATACCTAAATCTTAGAAACCCAATGTAGCAGAATTTAAATATTCAAAACTATGAACTCTTTTTGAAATATCAAAGAGTACACCAACAGGTTGTAAAGATAAATGGATTATAAAATTTGAGTTTATGGCAAAGACTCAATTCCTTTGGACGACATGACCTTCAGCTTTCAAGCGTCAAAGTCTGTTTTATGATAATTGATCAGGTAGAAATCAAATAAATCAATAAGTTTAGAAATAAGAAGGAGCAGCTAAAGTCTTCTCATTTGTTTCGTCTCGAGACCATAATCTTACCTCCGTCGTTATCCTATACTAACTTCCTCACCTTGAAATATTTCACCTCCTTAACTAATGTCCTTATCTAAAAAAGTGTGACCGTCCTGTTCATATTAAAATATTTGACCATCCTGTCCTTCTTAAATTGGAAAACTTGACCGTCCAAATCAAAACGAACGTCCTTACTTTGATATATTTGACCGTCCTGGCCTTAAAAAAAACTTTCTTAATTTTGAAAACTTTACCGTCCTAGTTCTGAACGAAAACGTTCTTACCTTGATGTATTTGACCGTCCTGGCCTTAAACAAACGTTCTAAGATTGGAAAACTTGACCGTCCAATAGTCCTAAACTAACGTTCTTACCTTGACATATTTGACCGTCCTGGCCTTAAAACAACGTTCTAAATTTGGAAAACTTGACCATCCTAGTCCTAACGAACGTCCTTACCTTGATGTATTTGACCTTCCTGAACTGAAACAAACGTTTTTGAATTGTAAAACTTGACCGTCCTAGTCCGAAACGAACGTTCTTATCCTTGATATATTTGACCGTCCTGACCTTAAACCGACGTTCTAAAATTGGAAAACTTTACCGTTCTAGTCCTGAACGAAAACGTCCTTACCTTGATGTATTTGACCGTCCTGGCCTTAAACAAACATTCTAAGATTGGAAAACTAGACTGTTCTAGTCCTAAACTAACGTCCTTACCTTGAAATATTTGACCGTCCTGACCCTAAGCTCTAGGGTTGCGTCCTCGTCGCAGACCATGAGTGTGTTTCCATGCTGCTGAAAGGCTGATACAGTCCACATGTGGCTCACTCCCTCCTCAATGGCCTAGTTAATATACAGGGTTGAGACTTAATCGACCTGAAAATCTTTAGTTATGACAATCTAAGTGTTGAATTTGGTTATTTGCCTTTAGAATAGTTCTTAAACTGACTAATTTGACAAAACTTGAGAGAACTATGTAAATGTGAAGGATCTATTAAATCCCGTATACAGGTCTTCTCTGAAGTATCATCCTTTGTGGTTAACCTTGTATGTAAATTCTTATAAAGTTATAAAAAAGATAAAAATTTTGAGTTTATCAGTTCATTCCTGCTATTATAATATGTGCTTAAAAAATGTGTTCTTCAATAGGCTTTAGTTTTGAACAGAGGAGCTAAGAGCCCTAAACCCAAGGGGGAGGGGGGTGCCCTTTGATCACTAACCTTATAAAGAGCATATGATTTATTTGCCCCTGTGATTAGAACAAGAACTTCTTGAGCTTCCATTACAGTGCCAACCCCAACAGTTAGAGCCTAAACATTCAATATTTATTATCTTTTTTGATTTTTTAATCCCTATATCTTTGCAACCTGTTGACGTAGACCTTTGAAATTTCGAACTATGGATCATTTCAGATCAAATGGTGTAAGTTTGAAATATCAAAGGTTGCAAAAGATAAAGGGGGTTAGAAAATTTGAGTTTGTGGCAAAAACTCATTTCCTTTGGAGAAGTAAAATTACAAAAATAATAATTTCGGTAAATACAAAATATCTTACAAGTGGTTTTGTAAAAATCAAAAGTTTGACGTAATTTCAACAAAATGAGTAAAAAAGTGGTTGAGCATTTGGGTAAAAGAGTCATGAATAAATGAGTAAATAAGTAAATGATTAAATGAGTAAATGAGTAAATGAGTAAATGAGTAAATGAGTAAATGAGTAAATGAGTAAAGGAGTAAATGAGTAAAGGAGTAAATGAGTAAATGAGTAAAGGAGTAAATGAGTAAATAAGTAAATAAGTAAATGAGTAAATGAGTAAATGAGTAAATGTGTAAATGCGTAGATAAATGAGTAAATTAGTAAATAAATGAGTAAATTACTAAATGATTAAGTAAATGAGTAAATGGGTAAATAAATGAGTAAACTACCTGTTTAGGAACAGCGTTGATATCTCCGCCAAAGAACCTGGCGTTTGCAAGTATTGTATCCTGAGCTAGAGTTTTCACCCTAGTCCTGGAGACAAGGGAGGAACCAGGCTCATTGAAGGCAATATGACCGTCAGGACCTATTCCACCTAAATATTGGAAATATTGGAAAAATTAGGAATAATCTGAAAAATATTAAAAACTTTATTTTTGAAATGAACCCTTATTGTAACTAAATACTAAGCTGAATTAATGCGCACATACCGTATTCCAATTTCATGACCCCTTCCTTCAATTTACCTCCATGCAAAGATGGCAATGTACGATTCACAACGGTACCCTTTAAAGCTTTGCCTGATCGAGTATCAATTAGATATCAATGTTCATAATTTTCAAAACTGATTATTTTCAATTGTGGTGGCTCTATTTAAAAAGAAATTAGACCCCAATTTGGAAAGCTCTTATAGCACTATTAGAAGAAACCTCTGTTTGTTTGTAATTGTATGTTGGATCATAACTCGGGATCCCTTTTACCGATTTGTAATAAGTAATTTGACTTTAACAAGGAAAAATTAGTTTCCAGGTAAAGCTGAGTTTCCAAGCTAGATTATACATAATTAGCTTGGGAACCCAGATTTTCCTGGAGTTTTCCCCCTAACGTCGTCTTTAATTTCCCGGAGTTTATTGAATACTATTTATTACCTACAAACAGCTCAATTCCTCCCGCTTCCTTTATCTTCGCTTCATAATCCTCACATTCCTTCTTCAGGTTCGGAGCATTCCCGTTCAGTATATTCACGTTGTCAGGGGATATATCAATATGCTTGAAGAAGTTATCAAACATGTACCTAATCAAACATGTACCTAATCAAACATGTACCTAATCAAACATGTACCTAATCAAACATGTACATAATCAAACATCAAATAAAACAGAAACCTTTAACTTGGATGCTCATAGAATCGTAGAAGTAGTTTTAAGTGACACTCTAGTCATAAACCTTTGTCTGATATCTTCGTTCATATTTTTAAATAGCTTATTTTCAAGTGTGGATTTATGCAACTAAGGTTGATAGAAGGAAAACAATCAACTCGTATTAAGATAGATTTACCAACGAGGTTATAGTATATAGAGTGATGATGTACGCTAATCCTTTACTAATTGTACAGGCCAGTACTTCACTTCCAAAAGGTCAATCTGTATATTACAGTCAAAGAGAATAGAAAATATATTAGAGGGGAATTTACTAGAAAAAAGTGTAAAACGGCCATTTTGTTGTACTGTTTCCATACTGCAGGTGTACTTCACATATTTATGCTATATAACCTTTTGGGCCCTGGAATATCATTTTATAGAAAATCTAAATTTAATGTTAAAAGAAAACCAAATTATGAAATAGGCTGGTTTCATAATTGACCAATGATCATTTCACATAGACTCTATGCCTTTCACTTTACAAACGATGATTTTCCGTTATCTTTAAATCAAATGATGTTTTTATTCACCTAATTCATTATAAAGTTTATTTTACAGCTTTAAAAAATTCGAAATTGAAAGGAATAGTCTAGGGAACATACTGTATTAATGTACTCTACTCCATATAATTTGTGAACATTTACATGATTTGTACACTTTAAACTCCCATTCAGGCTGAAAGGGACTGAAAAAATTCATACCGAGAGATTCCCTAAGTTCCCCTCTAATTTTATTCTCTATGTTTACAGTACTCGGGGGTGATTTCTGAAAATATTTAAATGGAGAATTTGTTTTCCATGTAACTAATAAAATCCACTACTCCTTTATCGTGTGCAGGATTCCATTTTCATAGGAAGATGTACATTTTCAGTCTTTTACAGAGCAATATTTCATCGTTAATAAACTGTTCTGAGAAAACTGAGTAAAATTCAAGATACAAAACCTCCCCATACGCTTGTACTCCGAAAGCGTACTGCATATTTGATGTTTGTACTGTATGAACAGGCCATAATCTCTTAACATCCTTTATCAGTAAACTATCCCAAGTGTACACTCAGGCCAATACACACGGAGAGGTAGCTAAGATCCAGCCCCCTGAGATTTACTGATTAAATTTAAAATTTGGGTTATTCAATTGTTGATTTAGCGATCAATATCGAAATCAATTCTAATTCAGCCTATGACAGTGACAGGATACAGGAAATATGATACAGAAGATACAGGCTAAAGAATAGAAGACATGGAATACAGAGTATATATCCAAGAAGCTGGATTCTAAAACCAAATATCTACATAGAAGTCAAAACTTTTATGTTGTGAATCTTAGGATCAAGGACGTGGTCTTCATATTATTCAGATTAATTTAATTAATTGTTAACTCGTGATGGTCATACCCTGCAGCGATAACTTTAATTAAGGGATCAGGCATTTATCCTCAAATCTAAAATTGCCCACATTGAATATCAAGATTAAGTGTTTAAGATTAACAATATTGCGCACAAAAGTTTCGATCTCTTCTCTGTTTTGTTAGAGCTAAATCCGACCTATGGTAGCTTTCAGGATGATCCTCTGGTATTCCTACATACTCATCCATATTGAAGGTTTTCACGTACTTGAAGGAAACCTGGATATCATGGAAACAGTAAATAAACGCTAAAACAGCCTAACCAATCTGACCCAAAACAAACGGAGTTTTGCCACAAACGGATTTTTAATCTCCATATATCTTTGCAACCTGATTCAAACAATGAATTCTGTCATATTAAATAGTCTAAGTTTAAAATATCGAAGGTTTACACCTCTAGGTTGAAAAAATCTAGGGATTGCAAATTCAAACTTGTGGTAAAAACTCAGTTTTCTTGTCTGTAGAACATAACATTATGTAGGTATTGTTGGTTTAGGGCCGTGTGACGTGTGACAATGCATACTATATGTTTCTTGAAATTTGGAAATATAATTGATTCAGTTATATTTAACGCCTAAGAGGAGGTAATACTTAAAATATCTGGTTTTTTAGAATCTTTGAAAGGAAGGCGACATTCGATACGTTATATTGTTAATAACTTTTTTCCGCTTAAAAGCTTATTTTTATTTGTGGTTTCTTTACAAAAGTAAGTTCCGGATTTCTAGCTATAAAATATAAAATATAAAATATAAAATATCAGATGAAACTTTAGCAATTTAACACTTTTCATAATGGAAAAATAAAATATAAATATCAAGAGTTGAAAATAAAAACTTTGAAAAAAAAATTTCAGTTCGATTTATTACATGAATTTGGTCAATTTAATCTTTTATATTGAGTTCACAACATTGGAATGAATATAATTGATTTGAATTAATTAAAGTAAGGCAATAAAGTAAATCAATTTGGATTCGATACACGATACGTTCACTAAAAAGCATAAAAAAACATGAATTTGAAATTAAAATCGAGTATCTAAGTTTGAAATATCAAATGTGTTTAGCATAAGGTTGCAAAGTTATATGAATTAGAAAATTTGAGCTTGTGGCAAAGACTCAATTCCTTTACAGTCTAAAGTTTTTGAAATTGAAATTAAGAATGAAAATAAAAAACTTTTCTTTTTGATTATATATTTACCTTTCCAGCTTTATGTGCTCTTGCCAGGTTAGAATACATTGGAAGAGGAGTTCCTCCGGTAGGTAACCCGAGCACAAAATATCTTGTAGGACCCGGAGCAAACTCCTAGATTATATATATATATTTTATATATATATTAGGACCAGGAGCAAACTACTGGATTATATATATATTAGGACCAGGAGCAAACTCCTAGAATATATATATATTAGGACCAGGAGCAAACTATTAAATTATATATATATATAGTAGGACCAGGGTTAAACTATTAGATTATATATAGTAGGACCAGGGTTAAACTATTAGATTATATATAGATAGTAGGACCAGGGTTAAACTATTAGATTATTATACTAGAACCAGGGTTAAAGAAAGTTAAGAGAATCCTTCAGTGCCTCAGAATTAATAAGGATGACTATAACAAATATGGTATTTAGAAATTGTAAACATGCAAATATAGAAATCCGGGAATCACCGATCTAAGCCTTTATTGTTGCCTGCCTGCTGCCTAGCCTAGGCCACAGAACAAACAACGAAAACTCATGGAAAATAGTAAATTTTGAAAAATAAAATAATTACATTGATTCTTTTGATGATATACTTAGCGGCCCACTCTGCTACATCATCCTTCGTATCACGGATAATCAACTTCATTCTTATTCTATAAATAAAGATTGAAAAAACATCATTATTATTTTAAAATTTTAATCTGTTAATTAAAAATAACAGTTTTATAAACATACATCATTGTAAAAACAAATTTGCCGTATTCCTCTATTTATGAGATTTCAAAAATTGTATTCTCTGTTTTTTTTATCCTCTAAATTGACGGAGATATCAAATTTTAGTTTTAGAATATTTTTAGGATTTTTGATTATCTTCTAGATATACGACATTTTAAGCGACTTTATCCCGTAATATTCGGACAATTTTACCCCTCAATATTTCGACGATTTTACCCCTCAATATTTGGGCGATTTTACCCCTCAATATTTGGGCGATTTTACCCCTCAATATTTGGGCGATTTTATCCCTCAATATTTGGGCGATTTTATCTCTCAATATTTGGACAATTGTATTTCTCTAAACATTAGGACGGTTTAATCACTCAATATTTGGACAATTGTATTTCTCAATATTTGGACAATTGTATTTCTCTAAACATTAGGACGGTTTAATCACTCAATATTTGGACAATTGTATTTCTCAATATTTGGACGGTTTTATCCTTTAATAGATGTTAGCCCTGAATATTCGGACTAGTTAATCACTTAATATCTGGACAGTTTTATACCTAAATATTTAGAGGATTTCATGGCTATATATTGGGACGATAATATTTGGAAAATTTTATTCCTGAATATTTTGACAATTTCTTCCATTGACCATTTATAAATATTTGCACAATTTTTAATGATTTTTTTATGACAGAATATCATTTTGTCAAATTCCAGAAAATGCGACGCTTGACAGTTTAACAGTTAGGGCCGCAACATAAATTGCCACGTAAGCACCCAGGACTAGGGACGAATCAAATTATTTAAGTCCGAAATATCGAGAGCAATTTCCGGAAGTTTTAGCAACTGAGCCAGACATAAGATATTATCAATCCTATTTTATTGACTTCAAAACTGGAACACTTCAACACTTCAACACTGGAAAACTTCAAAACTTCAAAATTTCAAAACTCCTTAACTCCTTATAACTCCATGAATAAATACAAAAACAAATCTGATTTTTTATCATATCAGTCAAAAATGTCTGCTATTACAAATATCAAAGGATACAATTAAAAATATACATTTGAATCTTTCATATCGCTCTTGAATGTCCTTGATTTGTTGTTGTTGGGTGTCTTGGTATGAATATTTACAGAAGATGGCAAAAAAATGCCAAATCAATTTTGATGAGAAAAAAATTTGGTCGCATTAATCTATGTTTTGTTAAAACCCGAATACAGGATTAATGTATGAATATTCAAAAATATGTTTGCACTGAATAATCTGGTTATAGGGCTTGGACCGGATTTGACAAAATGATACTCTATCTTTTTGATAGAGTTAATGAACATTCTTGATCATAGTTACATAAACTTTTTTAAATGTTCGTAAAATGTTTAAAATCCACGAAAAAATTGTAAATCCGCAAATATTTTTTAATTAATCAATATAGTTAGTCAATCAATAATAATCTTTTTAAAGGAATTGAGTTTTTGCCACAAACTCTGATGTTCTAATCCTAATATCTTTGCCATCCAATGTCGTAGACCTTCTATATTTCAAACTATAAATTCTGTCAGATCAAATAATCTAAGTTTGAAATGTCTAAGGTTTTCGTCATCAGGTTGAACAATTATATAGGGATTAGAAAATTCGAGTTTGTTGCAAAGACTCAACTCCTTTGTGTAAATTAAATCACCATTGACCAGTCGTATAGTCGGATCTGGTAAAACTCCACTGTCTACTGAAATACCAAGTATAACCCTGGTGAAGCCTCTAAAAAGAAAGTTGAATTTAAGATCAAATCTGGTTTTCGGGGTTAAACTCGTTAAAATCCTCACAACCAGCAAATTTTCAGTGGTTACAAAAAAATCTTTATTCTTTAAATTGCAACTTTTTTTAGAATTTCTAAACGAAATTGTTTTTACATTCAAAACGTAATAAAAAAGAAGGTAAAGAAGCAGAGTGTCTCAAAATAAAAGTTGATTTGTAAATTATATAAACTATAAACTTCAGGACTACAGCACGTACAAACCGATATTAACCATTATATATTTTTTCATAAATGATTAAATTCTATACTGATGTGATGTCCTTTAGGCTTTATCAAATGTTTGTTATTATCTAAATGCGGAAGAAATTAAGAAGTTAATCCAATGCGTATTGCGTAATATATTCAAGGAAAATATAAATCTAAGATTTGGTTCCGCACTGTAAATGAACCCCGACTAGACTAGCCAGAAATACCTCTTGTACCAAAAATTTGGTTGCAAATAGGTTTTAGACAATAGAAGACGAAATTTCTTTTCTGTCAGAGTGGTTTCTCTCTGGAGCAACTTACCAAATGATGTTAAGGAATCTAGAACTGTGGGTATTTTTAAAACAAAATTAGAGAATTAGCTGTTTAAATAATATTTTCTATGCTTATCGAGTTTCTGTGTTTTAAAGCATAACTGGAGAAAAAAAAACAGCAAAGACGACCTCAAGGTTTCCAGAGGACACCAAAGACGTTTGCATCATGGAACTACAGGTCTCCTGCAAACCACTACACAGACGTAAGATCTTGTTGGTTCTATGAAGAGTTAAAGTCTTATTTCCTATTGAAAGAGAAATTAATATGCGCCCCCAATTTTTTCGTAAAGATAATTGTTCTTTAAAATTATAGCTTTGATGTAAGTCGTCTACATTTAATATGTTTAAGCTTTGAAAATAAAAACTTTAATCAACAAATACGCGTCTTGCACCCNACAATCTATATATAAATTAAGTATCATCAAATATTCATCATTAATTCCTTTGTTAATTTCTAAATCAACCAATTTTAACTCCGTCTTATATGCAAATATTTCAAACTTTCGTTTTTAAATAAATGTTAGAAATATCCATTTGGATCTCTTTATTTTACTATAGTGACTTTTAAAGTCAACAACTGTATTATACACTCATTGTAAATTGTTATCATTTTTTAGATATCTTACATTTTCTAAAAGAGAAGGTTTGACCTCAAAAAGATATTTCTATCCTTGTGAGCTAGATTTGCTGGGACTGAATGGCATACTCACTTGCCTTTGGTGTTGCTGGGATTAAGAAGTGTTTTCTGAGAAGATTCTTCAGTTACCGCCTCTGAAGCTTTGTTTGGTGCTCATCTGCTACTTCCTGGTGAAATCTTAGATAGTCCTGAGCTCCCTGCAGAAGAATATCTCCGACTAATTCAGAAGTTTCTCAGGAACAATCTTCTCATCATCATAAATCCTATGCTTTAAATTTTTTTTGCGGTTCGCGCATACATTTATAATTAATTTATATCTTGTCGTTCATCTAAAAATGGTTGGAAGTATATTTTTTTTAAACCAAGCCATGAATATTATGAGAGCCAACCTTTCAAAAAATAACAAATGATGTTTTTTTAACTTCAAATCATGAAAACAGCACTTTCTTTTAGAAAATGTTTTCGCCCCCCCCCCCTCACAAAAGTTTTAAAATCTAAATATTTATTCTGTGATTAAGGATTACAAAAAGTTTTACAATTATCGCAAAGAAATTTTAACACACATTAGCAGGGGCGGATCCAGCTTTTTAAAAGGGGGGGGGGGTCAAAGTCTTAATAATATTGCGTATTTTAAAAGTAAAGTTTGCAAAGTTGTAAATAGATATAAGTTGTAAATAGATATAAGATCTAATCTTCCAGTAGCCGAATTTAAAGAATTTGCGCGGCGGTTTAAATTTAAGCCGCGGTTTAAATATGGTTGGTTCCACTTAAAATTGTATCAAATGTTTCAAAATTTAAGCCGGCGCTTAATTTAAACTGGGTTTGGTGGATTTAAACCGCGGCTCAAATTCTTTAAATTCCATCTCAGAATAAAGAAAGCCTGTCAACTTTGATATGTATTTTTAGAATTATTTTTTATTAAAAAATTTAGATTTATAAATGAACCTTGAACCTATTGAATATAATTATTTCAATTTTACGGGGATTTTTGTCTATAAAAGCTTTTAACACTTTTGTGGATGAATGTTCATTAGGGCCAGATCAATAAATCTTTCAATGTTCATGCTGGCTTTTTGTTAAAGCAAAAGTAAACTTTTAGGTTAGTCTCCAGAAAAGGGGAGTCAAAAGATACTCTTGACCCCCCCCTTTTTCAAAAGGGGAGTCGTCGACCCCTTGACCCCCCCTGGATCCGCACCTGCACATTAGTTTTTTTTTAAATTTACTATTTGTAAAACAGTCAGTCTATTCTTAGTATGCCAGTGCACTGTAAGTATGGAGAGAGGCTTACTTGTAACTTATAAACTGTAGTCAACGATAGCAGTGGGATGGATAACAAGCCTTCTCATCTTTATTGTGCAGGAAGATTCAGCTGTTAAAAAATGTCAACCCAGAGAATGTTTTGAACGCATGTGTAAACGCGTGGAAGACCAAGCCACCCTTCCAGAATAGATTTCTTGTTTCATTTTATATCAGATGTGTTGACTTATAACTGAATATACGGTTGGTTTTTTATTGTTTAAGTATAACACACATTTTTCTTGCCCCCCCCCTAAAAATGTTTAGGAGGGGGGCCAAAAAAATTTGTGTTATTTTTCCCCCTAACCAAATGTCTAGTGGCGCGCCTGCCTTGGACCAGGAATTCTATTTTCTAAGTTTGAATTCAAGCTAATAGGCATGAGACACTGCTTGACATGAGGCAGTAGGATTGAAAAGAATTGGTCTGGGAGATTTCAGTGTTGCAAACCGACCGAATCTTAGGCCCAAAACGAGAAAACAGCCCAAATGAAATTGCTTTGGGCCTACTGAAATTGTGGGCCGAATTTTGGGCCGAATGAAAATTGTTGATCTTAATTGGTAAAGAAAACAGCCAGGCATTGTTTAGATAAAGTAAGAATGAAATGACTTCATGAGTTTTAGAATTTTTCACAAACCTCATACATCAAGGCTGATATAGTAAACTCAAGTTTAAAACATGGAGATGTCTGAACCTATTCCCTTGGATAAAAACTGGAACAAATCATGGATTCTTTACAAATGAATATTATAATTTATTACTTTCAGGGGGCTCTATTTCAATTGAGAACATTTTCTCTTGGTTTTATAAATAAAACTATACAAAAAAAGTTGCAGATTTTGTATAAAAAATTTCGTGCATTTTCAAAATTTTAATGGAAATTGAATGTGGTCGGAGGCTAATTTTCTTTTCAGATATTTATGCTGGAATATATTTGAATCAAAAGTCACAATAAAGGAATTGAGTCTTTGGAACAACATCAAATATTTAAACCATAATATCTTTAGAACTCGATGTTGTAAACCTTTGTTATTTCAAACTCAGATTATTTGATCTAACAGAATTCATAGTTTGAAATATCTAAGGTCTGCAACATTTGGTTCCAAAGATATAGTGATTATAGAAAATCAGAGTTTGTGGCAAAGACTAAATTCTTTAGCTATTTTGGTAAAATATTTATAATTAGAACCAAAAATTTGCTTTCAGGCCAAAAAAAAATGTTCGCCCCAATTTCTGTTGTTGTTGGGGGACTTCACCCTTAATTCTAATGGGCCTAAAGATTGGATTTGGGCCTATTAATTGTATCCTCTCTCCGGCCTAGACCCCTCTTTTGGAGTTGGTAATACTGGTAGATTTTCTCATACCATCTAACTATATGTTAACAGTACATGCGTTCACATCCTGGTATTGATTTATCTGTGCTAGTAAAACAGGCATAATTATAGTTTCTGATTTTATTCTGTTGTTTAAACGGAGCTGGGAACTTTAGAATGGTGGATATCGGGATTAATGCTTGATCCACTCTTTTTCTTAATCTCCAGATTAAATGTTGCTTGTTCTCCTCATGAATTTAATCTCCAGATTAATTAACAGATCGGGATTAAGGATATCACATTCTAAAGATTTCAGCTCATATTTAATTCCATTAGTTCT